ACTTTAGTAGAGGACCCATAGATGATATTATATACCAAATATCAAAGCTCTAAGCCTTGTACCTCCAGATAAGAAGTTTTTTTTTTACTATATGTACATAGTGAAAATCAATGACCCCTGTGCCAATTTTGACCCCAGGGCTTTAATTTGTATAATTTTGCTAGAGGTTCACTACACAATGTTTCATGCAAAAAATCTTAACTCTAGCCTTTGTAAATTTAGCGAAGATGAGTTTTTAAGTTTTTACTATATATATATAAGGAAAACCTATGGCCCCCGGGGCGGGGCTAGAGGCAAAATTTGAACAACTTAGGTAGAGTACCTATAGATGATATCATTTAACAAATATTAAAGCTCTAAGCCTTGTACCTTCAGACAATAAGATTTTTTACTATATGTATATATTGAAAATCGATAATACCCGGGGCGGGGGCAATTTTGACCCCAGGGCTATAATTTGAACAATCTTGCTAGAGGTTCACTTCACAATGTTTAATGCAAAATATCTAACCTCTAGCATTTGTCAATTGCTAGAAAAAGTTTTTTTAAAGTTTTTACTATATACATATAAGAAAAACCAATGACCCCCGGGGCGGGGCCGATTGTGACCCCAGGGCTATAATTTGAACAATCTGGGTAGAGGTCTACTAGACAATGCCTTATGCAAAATATCTAAGCTCTAGGCCTTTTTGGTCTTTACAAGAAGGTATTTTAAGTTTTTACTATATGTATATGAAGTGAAAATCAATGACCCCTGGGGTGGGGCCGATTTTGACCCCAGGGCTATCATTAAAACAATCTTGGTAAGGGTCTACCAGACAATGCCCTATGCAAAATATCTAAGCTCGGGGCCTTTTGAGTCTTTACATGAAGGTGGTTTAAGTTTTTACTATATGTACATATAGTGAAAATCAATGACCCCCCGGGGCAGGGCCGATTTTGACCCCAGGGATATAATTTGAACAATCTTGGTAGAGGTCTACCAGACAATGCTTTATGCAAAATATCTAAGCTCTAGGCCTTTTGGGTCTTTACAAGAAGATTTTTTAAAATTTATTCTTATAATTCCTTTTGGTTGCCATGGCAACCAGATTTCTGCATGGAATGAAATTCTTTGAACAACTTTGGAAGCCCTTCACCCAAGGATCAATCCTGCCAAGTTTGGTTGAAATTGGACCAGTGGTTTTTCACAAGAAGATTTTTGAAGTTCACTATATAATCTATATAACACACACACACACACAGGTGAATCGCTATATGCCACCGCATCGCAGATGCTGCGGTGGCATAATAAAAATACGCAAAGTATGCTAGACTAAAGTCATTTCAATTATTTCAATTTGAGTATAAAATGTATTCTACTAAATCATATATTAAACATTCAATGAACTCAAACAATGATAACATTAATTTAAATGAGATTAATACTCACGGAAATATCAGCTACTCGTACTTTCGGTTGGGTAATAAGGAGAATTCCTTCATAATCGGCCACAGGCTTTGTATGGAAGAAAAGATGGTGGGGAGAAGGTAAGACGTATTTTATTGAAGCAACACTTGGATCAGCTGTTGGATATTCCACTGTCTTGCAACTTCCAGTGATTTTTAATGTCTGCGATACATCTCCAGCTTGACATTCATTGACAATATTAACAGCTAGTTTAAGCAACGACGAGTGATCAATGTGGTCAGCTAAGGTTGAATGTAAATCTGTAATGATATAGTATATTGACTGTACTGTTTAAAGAATACACCTCTTGTACATGATGTATTACATGTTTATCGACCAAAGACTCAGCAATATTATTTTTAGACTAGAACTATGAGAGTAGGATGTGTCCCATTGTGAACAGTATAGCTGTCACTTAGGCATTTGCTTCTTAAATATAGGTTATTTATAAATACCACTCTTACAATGTACATGTATCTTGAACTTTAGTAGCATTTGAACTGATTGTAACAATGTTACATCAGGATTGAGGTATTTTGAATAGCTTTTAATGTGTAGGAGAATTGGCCCCAACAAAAACTAGAACTGCCACTATCATGGCGTGAATACCCCCGCATACCACTTTGTCAGAATTAACAGTGGCCATTTAGAGCTCAAGGACAACCTCCCTGCCAAATCTGAGGTTACTTAGCCAGTGCATTGCTAAGTTATGTATTCTACATGCTTCAAATGTGAAAATGTCAAAATCAATACATTGCGGACAGGACATTCTTAAGCAATTGAGAAGAAAAGCTTTTTTTTTGTCAAGGTCCCTGTGACCTTGACCTTTGACCCAGTGACCTTAAAATCAATAGGGGTCACCTTATAGTCATGATCAACATCCATGCCAAATATGAAGACTGTGGGTCAAAGGAATCTTAAGTTAATGGGTGGACAAACTTTTTGAAGTCAAAGTTGCTATGACCTTGACCTTTGATTCAGTGACCTCAAAATCAAAAGGGGTCATCTACTAATCATGACTAACCTCCATTCCAAATATGAAGACTGTGGGTCATAGGAATCTTAAGTTATTGGGCGGACAAGCTTTTTGAAGTCAAGGCCCCTGTGACCTTGACCTTTGACCTGGTGACCTCAAAATCAATTGGGGTCATCTACTAATCATGACTAACCTCCATGCCAAATATGAAGACTGTGGGTCAAAGGAATCTTAAGTTATAGGGCGGACAAGCTTTTTGAAGTCAAGGCCCCTGTGACCTTGACCTTTGACCTGGTGACCTCAAAGTCAATGGTGGTCATCTACTAATCATGACTAACCTCCATGCCAAATATGAAGACTGTGGGTCAAAGGAATCTTAAGTTATTGGGCCGACAAGCTTTTTGAAGTCAAGGCCCCTGTGACCTTGACCTGGTGACCTCAAAATCAATAGGGGTCATCTACTAATCACGACTTACCTCCATGCCAAATATGAAGACTGTGGGTCAAAGGAATCTTAAGTTATTGGGCGGACAAGCTTTTTGAAGTCAAGGCCCCGTTTTGACCTTGACCCCAAAACCAATAGGGGTCATCTACTAATCATGACTAACCTCCATGCCAAATATGACGACTGTAGGTCAAAGGAATCTTAAGTTATTGGGCGGACAAGCTTTTTGAAGTCAAGGCCCCTGTGACCTTGACCTTTGACCTAGTGACCTCAAAATCAATAGGGGTCATCTACTAATCATGACTAACCTCCATGCCAAATATGAAGACTAAGGGTCAAAGGAATCTTAAGTTATTGGGTGGACAAGAAAAAACCGACGGACGGCCGGACAGCCGGACGGACGGACGAGCTGATTCCAGTATACCCCCCTTACAACTTTGTTGTGCGGGGGTATAATAAAGTTTAACTAGAACTATCACTAAATGTGATTAATACCCCCGCAAGACTGCTTAGAAAATGAGGGTGTTACTAAGTAACAGAATACCTTGTAAAACAATTGAAATACAGTTATGGTTGTGGGCAATTAAAGATAGTTGTGGTTCTTGTATGTTGCATTTCCTTTCAATGTGGTTGGCCATTGATGAAGTTTTATTGAATTACTCTGCAATTTGTCAAGAAAGACAAGGAAAAGAAACAAAGGGCAATAACTCTATAAATACTGAAGTTGGAGGTATGCTATTGTACACTGCACTTCCTCTCATTTTGACCAATTTTTGTATGAAGTTGTATTGAATTCCAACTAAAAGTTTTCAAGTTACCATATAAGTGTTTTTTTCTGCGGGCTCCAAATTCTGCGGTTTTTCCAAATTTTGGCGTGTTTTTATTTCTGCGGACTTTATTTCTACGGCACATTCTTTTGACAAAACGAGATTTAAATTCTGCGACTCATCTCATCAAAGTCTAAGTCACATTTGACCCTATCTATTATATTTGCATGTACACATTCGCATTTGTTTATCGTCGTCACCGCAAAACTGTAAAGTAATTACAAACAATTATATTGTTTGCTTGCAAACAAATATAATGCGCAACAATAGAAAGGTATACATCTTTGATCAGGGTAAAGTGACGTGTGAAAAATATACCCCGGTAGTATCTTTAATTTAATAAAAATGATAGTTTACCGTAAATCAGATGACAATTAAAGTAAAAGTACAACGATTATTCAGCAGTATAAGGGTTGGAATGGTTTTTAAATTAGCATAGTTAACAATAAGTACGTCCTTACAAACACATATTACTTACTTAGCCGACAGCACTTTGAACAACTTGAAAACCTGCTGTTATAATCTATTAGTTGTTATTACTTTAGATGAAACAGGTCACAATGTAGGATACATATCTTAGCAGAAAAGAGAAATATTCTGCGGTTTTTAGCTCGACTATTCGAAGAATATGAGAGCTATTGTAGTCGCCCCGGCGTCGGCGTCAGCATCGGCGTCGGCGTTGGTTAAAGTTTTTTGTAAAGTCAAATATCTCAATCATTACTTGAGATATTCAATTGAAACTTACAATACTTATTTATAGTAACAAGGTACATCATATTGACAAGTTGGATAACTCTGCCTACAATATTGACAGAATTATGCCCCTTTTTAACTTAGAAATTTTGGTTAAAGTTTTTTGTAAAGTCAAATATCTCAATAATTACTTGAGATATTCAATTGAAACTTGCAATACTTATTTATAGTAACAAGGTACATCAGATTGACAAGTTAGATAACTCTGCCTACAATATTGACAGAATTATGCCCCTTTTTAACTTAGAAATTTTGGTTCAAGTTTTTTGTAAAGTCAAATATCTCATTTATTGCTTGAGATATTCAATTGAAACTTACAATACTTATTTATAGTAACAATGTACATCAGATTGACAAGTTGGATAACTCTGCCTACAATATTGACAGAATTATGCCCCTTTGGAACTTAGAAATTTTGGTTAAAGTTTTTTTGTAAAGTCAAATATCTCAATTATTGCTTGAGATATTCAAATGAAATTTAAAATACTTTTTTATAGTAACAATGTACATCAGTTTGCAAAATTGCATAACTCTGCCTGCAAAATTTGAAGAATTATTTGCCCCTTTGAAACTTAGAAATTTTGGTTAAAGGTCTTCAAAGATATTTACTTGAAACTTTACACATGCACTTAGGGTCATAATTGGAGGGTCATAATTGTATGTCACTGACCAAGTTCCATAACTCTATCTTGCATTAAGGCTGATTCATATCCCCTTTTCTACTTAATCTCTTGGTTAATGTTTACATGCAAGTTTTACATATCTCAATAACTATTAAAGATATTTATTTAAAACTTCACATATGTATTTAGGGTCATAATTGTAGGTCACTGACAAAGATCCATAATTCTATCTTGCATTTAGGATGATTTTTCTCCCCTTTTTCAACTTAGAAATTCATGGTAAAGTTTTGCTTGTAAGCTGTTATCTCAATTACTACTGAAGGGTTTGTGCCCTTTTTTGGGACAATTTTATGCATTCATAATAATAAAGCAGTGATTTACTTGATAAAACATCTTAATTAGAAGCCTATGTACCTTTTCTGTCAAATTTATGTATTCATAGGTAATTAGTATTATTATACTCAATAAAACAACCTTGTGACATTACCTTCCGAATAGTCAAGCCAATACTGTATAATTAGACTCTCTCTAAGGCCTATAACATGAATTTATTAAAAAAAAATTAGACCTTTTGTGATCTTAAAAAAATTTAACATTATCAAGGCTCTTTTACTATCAAGCACTTAGAATAGTCGAGCGTGCTGTCCTACTGACAGCTCTTGTTATTTCTGCGGTGCCGAAACTGACCGCAGAAAACGCAGAAATAAAGTCACTGCAGAAAAAAACACTTATACGGTATGCACAGGACAAAAAAGTAACAAATGGCAATAACTGTAATTAGTCCAAAAAGAGTTATGGTTCTTGTGCACTGCACTTTATCTCACTGTCCTTGACCATTGTATAAAATTTCATTGAATTCAAACCATTAATTTTCAAGTTATGCAATTGACAATAAAAAGTAACAAAGGGCAAAAACTTTTAAATGAGTCAAGAAAAAGTTATGATTTCTGTACACTGTGTTTCCTCTCAATATACTTGACCATTGTATAAAATAGTATTGAATTGCAACTAGTAGTTTTCAAGTTATGCTCTGGACAAGAAAAAAGCAATGGAAAAGTAACAAAGGGCAACAAGCAATTATCATAGTATTGCAAGCAATCCATAAGTCCCCTACCGGTAAGAACCCCAGCAACAATCTGATGGGCCATTGGCCATTCAATTTTACCAGTGAATGAATGACATAAATGAACTTAAATCTTTTGAGTTCTAAGTTTGCCTATACCATAGTTAAATGTGTTAAGTTTCCCTGCCTAGTAAGGAAATTATGTTTATACAACAGATAATCAAAAGGTCCAATTTTCTCAGGATGAATAAGTATAACTAATGTTTCAACTTTTCTCTATTTTAAGTAAATTTGTTGGAAAAAATCTTTTAAAATGATCTCAGGAAACAGTTTTTATGAACAGACAGATAAACAGACAGACAGACTGAAGGAGACTCTTGAGTTATTTTTTTAAACATCCCTGTTACCAAAATATAACATATTTTAATACAAAATTCTTAAAGAGGAGATAACTCTTGAAATAACAATGCTAGATTTATGAACATTGATGTGAGTTTTACTTTAAGTTTAAAGATACATGATTGTACCTATTATAGTCACAAAGAAGATAAGTAAAAAAAAATAACAATTTTCATATATAGCATTAACTATAATGTATAGTAAGTAACAAACATGAAAATTAAAAACAAAAATATAATGTAGGTGTTAATTAATAATGAATGTTTATTTTGAATTTGAAGAAAATCCATGAAGAAATAAGAAAGTTAAAGAATGAATAAGATAAATTCAAAGTTTAAGGAGGAGATAATTTTGGAAAAATGGATTTGGATTTATAAACCTTGTCATATTATTATAATGTGGGATTTTAAAGTAAATCTTATAGGGAATGAAGAAGTTGGAGTAAAACATACCAATTCTCGAAAAAAATTTAAGTTCAAGGGGGACATAACTCTAGAAATGGTCTTGCTAGAGTATTTAACCTTCTCAGAAATGTTGAGTGATAATAATAAACATATATGTGAAGTTTGAAGTAGATACACTAAGAAATAAAGAAGTTATTTAAAAAAGACAACATTTTTTCTTAAAAATTCTAAGTTCAAGGGAGGTATTTCTGATAATTTTTGTGCTAGAGTTGTAAACCTTGTCACATATGATGTGGTTGATGACCAGAAACTTATATTTAAAGTTTGAAGTAAACACCTTAAGAAATAAAGAACTTATAGTGAAAAGGGGTAAAAATTCAAATCAGAAATCTTAAAAATCAGTCTATTTGTTGCATTAGCAACCAGAATTTTCAACATAGGAAGGTGAGAAAAAGATGTGCATAATTTCCAGACTGCCATCTAACCATATTTCAAGTTTCATAAAAATATTTTCAGTACTTTTTGAGTTATTACTGGATCCAGTTTATGTGTAAAATTTGCCATATTTTCAGTCTTTTTGTTGCCATAGCAACCAGAATTTTCAACATAGGAAGAAAAGAAAAAGACATGCATAATCTCAATACTGCCATTTATCCATATATCAAGTTTCATAAAAATATTTTCAGTACTTTTTGCATTAACGCGGGATCCAGTTTTGTGGACAGACGGACAGAGGGTAAACGTGAAGTCCCCCCCAGTTAAACCGGTAGGGGACTAATAACTCTATAATTACTCTGGAAAGAGTTATAGTTCTTGTGCACTGCACTTCCTCTTATTGTGCTTGATCATTGTATGAAGTTTTTTTTATTCCAACCAGTATGTTTTAAGTTATGCTCTGGACAAGGAAAAGTATCAAAGGGCAATAACTCCTAATTTGTCAAAATGGTGTTATGGTTCTTGTGCACTGCACTGCCTCTCAATGTGCTTGACAACTGTATGAAGTTGTATTGAATTCCAACCAGTAGTTTTCAAGTAATGGTCCGGACAAGGAAAAGTAACAAAGGGCAATAGCTCTGTAATTAGTCAAGATGGAGTTATGGTTCTTGTGCACTGCACTTCCTCTAAATGTGCTTGACCATTGTACGAAATTATATTGAATTCCAACCATTTGTCTTCAAGTTATGCTCCGGACAAAAAAGCAATGAAAAAGTAACAAAGGGCAATTACTCTGTAATTATTCAAGATGGAGTTATGGTTCTTGTGCACTGCACTTCCTCTCAATGTGCTTGACCATTGTATGAAGTTATATTGAATTCCAATCAATAGTCTTCAAGTTATGGTCCGGACAAAAGAAAGCAATCGAAAAGTAACCAAGGGCAATAACTCTGTAATTGCTTTAGATAAAGTTATTGTTCTTGTGCACTGCACTTCCCCTTATTGTGCTTGACAATTGCATGAAGTTGTTTTGAATTCCAATCAGTAATTTTCAAGTAATGCTCCAGACAAGGAAAAGTAACAAAGGGCAGTAACTCTGTAATTAGTCAAGATAGAGTTATGGTTCTTGTGCACTGCACTTCCTCTCAATGTGCTTGACCATTGTATGAAGTTATATTGAATTCCAACCATTAGTCTTCAAGTTATGGTCCTGACAAAAGACAGCAATGGAAAAGTAACAAAGGGCAATAACTCTGTAATTACTTAAAGGGACTCCACTGAGGTTTAAAAGCCTAAAAACATAACATTTGAATTTCTTACATACATGCACTGGGGCACTTTAAACAGAAATATATGCACAGATAGTAAAGAAATATACTTTGAAATAAATTGAAAATCGTATTTTTATGCTATTCTTATCCCGTTTTGAGTGAAAAGCGTTTAAACGTCTTTCTTTGAAAAGTAACAAAGGGCAATAACTCTGTAATTAGTCAAGATGCAGTTATGGTTCTTGTGCACTGCACTCAATCCTCTCAATGTGCTTGACCATTGTATGAAGTTATATTGACTTCCAACTATTTAAAATTTTCAAGTTATGCTCCGGACAAGGAAAATGCAACGGATCGCTGGACCGACTGACCACCAGGTGACTCCTATATACCCCCCAAACTTCATTTCAAGGGTATAATAATTAAGAAGGGCAATAACTCTAAAATCATGAAGTACAGAGTAACGGTTTTTATGCACTGCACTTTTTCTCAGTGAGATTTATCATCCTATTAAGTTTCATGTCCATGTCCATAACTTTTATATTTCTGTGAGGAGAAATGGCCCGGACAAGAGTGAAATATGAAAAACAAAGGGCAATAACTCAAAAAAAAAGTAGTGCAGAGTACCAGTTTTTGTGCACTGCACTTTTTCTTAATAAGATCTATCATCCTATGAAGTTTCAAGTCCATTGCTTATATAGTTTTGGAGAAATGGCCCAGACAAAAGTAAAGTATGAAAATTAACAAAGGGCAATAACTCAAAAATTAAGAAGCACAGAGTAATGATTCTTGTGCACTGCACTTTGGGTCATTGAAAGAAGCATGCATACCAAGTTTGGAACAATCCAACTTACAAAGACTGAGTTATGCTCTGGACAAGGGGACGCCGTCGACAATGACGCCAACAAAAGTACCACTTACATGGCGACACAAAAAAGAATATACCAATAACCAACAATAATGTATAGGATCTTATTTGTAATAACTCAAAATGAACTTCAATGAAACAAATTAAGAAAACTCTGAACTAACTTTCCCGACAGATTCATAAAAATCTATTAAGATGACAACTTTAGATTCCTTTAATGAATTACTTGACTAATTTTAGCCAAAACAATACATTTTCAACTTTTTTTTTCATTAAAATACAACAATTGATTATAGACAAGGCAGTCTGAAGGACAGCTAAATCCCCTTCCTCATTGAACATAAATGTGTACTTTTTGACCTTTTACCAACCACGACCTTGATGTTATGCCATGCATATCATAAGCACATAGTCTCATGATGGTGATTATTTGTGCCATGTTATTTAAAATCTTCCATAAAGTAAAAAGTTATGGAGAACATATAAACTTGACATTGGGGGAAGCAACCTGGATGTTAAACTCTGCAGATTGTGTCATGGTGGTGATCATTTGTGCCAAGTAATTTTAAAACCTTTGAATTGTCAATAAGTTATAGAGTGGGCATGAAAAATAGATGTTTTTTTACATTGGACCTTTGAGTGTGACTCTGAACTTCAGGGTTGTGACTTGATTATTATGCTCTGCCAATGGTGTCATAATGGTGATCATTTCTGCTAAGTTATCTTAAAAAAAATTGCAGCGGTTTAAATGTTTTGGACAGACTAGAAATGTAGACTTTCTAACTTTTTACCTGTAAGTGTGAACTTGACCTTGGGTGTAGCAGTTCAATTATTGCACTCTGCAAATAGTCTCATAATGCTGGTCACTAAATGTTCCAAGTTATCTAAAAAAACTTTTCAGTGGTTTAAAAGATTTTGAGCGGACACAAATTGTATACACTAGACCTGTAAATGTGACCTTGACCTTGGGGATAGCAACCCAATTATTACGCTCTGCACACTGTCTCATAATGGTTATCACTTGTGCTAAGCTATTTAAAAAAAGAAAACAGAGGTTTTAAAAAGTTATGGAGGGGACACGAAATGTAGACTTTCATACATTTGACCTTTAAGTGACCCAATTATTGAGCTCTACACATCTTCTCATTAGAGTGATCACTTGTGCCAAGTTATTTTAAAAGAAAATTAAGCGGTTTAAAATTTATGGAGCGGACACGAAAATTAATGTAGACTTTTTTATTATGAAATAAAAAAATTTTAACATTTGATCTTTAAGTGTGACCTTGACCTTGGGGGTAGCAAACCAATTATTATGAACTGCACAACGCCTCATTATGGTGATCACTTATGCCAAGTTATTTCTAAAAAATTTCAGCAGTTTAAAAGTTATAGAGTGACACAAAAGTGTTAAGAATGGACTGATAGAAGGACAGAGGGACGGACTGACAGACGGAGGCCATTCCTATAATCCCCTTTCTACTACACGGAAGGGGATTAAAAATGAAGAAGGTCATGTAATATATAAAATTACATAGAGAGGTAAACATTTCAGTTGAAAACACTTCAAATTCTGAAGTATTTGTATAGCTCATACCTGAAGCAGGTTCATCTCCTATTTCCACTTCGACAGTAGTTCCACCTTTTCCATCACTGACAAAGTTCAAAATAATGACCTTCGTCAGCGGAATATTCAAGAGAGCCGCCAAATTTTCAACCAAATTATAGCCATTGAAATCATCAACTGTTACTGTAGGCAGACTAATTGACATGATGACAGCGTCAGGAGATATGATGTCAATCTGTTCCGGGCCCTTTATTATAAACTGGATCTTCTTGCGATGTTTATCAAAATAGTTTGTTCCTGTTCCGTCGGCAATCTGAGGATCATATTCATTGCCTAAAAGATAAGTACATCAAGTTAGTGTTTGAAAATTAAATAAATTTAACAAGGTTTGAACTTTGTCCCCAAACGAGATGATTGTGTCATCTCCATGTCTTTCTATGGTAAGATAACTCTACATAACCACTTATTGTAGGTTTCAAAGTTGTTTTTTTGTTCTTTCTAAACCAATGAGGATTTGAAAACTGTATTGATACATAACAGTGTTATGTTTCCCCTTTAATTATATAGGAAACAACAACATGTTTGCTAAACACATATGCCCTCAGTGCAGATACTAAATGTTACAATATTTCAAAAAAGTTTTTCCCATTCACTCAATAATGGACAGAAAATTTGACCAAAACTAGAAATGTGTCCATAGGACACGGATGCCCCCACACGCCACTGTTCTGTCAATCTTATGACTCTAGGTCAAATATTTTTTGGACTACATGTGCCACAAGTTGAAAACTAAAAATCGACAAAGGGCTATAATTCTGTTAAATTTGGTTGCAGCTAAAATTCCTTCCTTTACTACCATCTACACATTAAGGTTGTTCATCCCTAGAAGTTTCAGCAAAATCTGCCATCCAGTTTAAGAGGAGTTGCATTCACAAAATTTCTACATAGTATATAGTGAAAAAAATCAACAAAGGGCCATAATTCTGTAAAATTTGGTCCCAGCGAAAATTCCTTCCTTTACTACCATCTACACCTTAAGGTTGTACATCCCTGTAAGTTTCAGCAAAATCTGCCATCCAGTTTCAGAGGAGTTGCGTTCACAAAATTTCTACATAGTATATAGTGAAAAAATCAACAAAGGGCCATAATTCTGTTAAATTTGGTCGCAGCAAAAATTCCTTCCTTTACTACCATCAACACATTAAGGTTGTTCATCCCTGTAAGTTTCAGCAAAATCTGCCATCCGGTTTAAGAGAAGTTGCGTTCACAAAATTTCTACATAGTATCTAGTGAAAAAATCAACAAAGGGCCATAATTCTGTTAAATTTGGTCGCAGCAAAAATTCTTTCCTTTACAACCATCTACACATTAAGGTTGTTCATCTCTGTAAGTTTAAGCAAAATCTTCCATCCGGTTTAAGAGGAGTTGCGTTCACAAAATTTCTACATAGTATCTAGTGAAAAAATCAACAAAGGGCCATAATTCTGTTAAATTTAGTCGCAGCGAAAATTCCTTCTATTACTACCATCTACACATTAAGGTTGTTCATCCCTGTAAGTTTAAGCAAAATCTGCCATCCGGTTTAAGAGGAGTTGCGTTCACAAGATTTCGGGACGTACGGACGGACGGACTGACGGACGGACGGACAAGTGCAACGCTATATGCTCCCACATTGTGGGGGCATAAAAAAAATGTAAACACTGTCATGTCCGGTGTTTTGTTTGAACAATCATGATTTTTTATTTAGTCTGTACCTGCAATACACAATGGTACGATGGTGAAAACCCGATTGCACGATGGTTAGATGGTGAAAACAAGATGGTACGATGGTGGAATCGCGATAGCATGATGGTGAAAACGCCATGTTACATCGCGTTTTCACCATCATACCATCGCCATTTAACCATCGTACCGTTGCATTTTCATGACATCATGTTTTCACCATCGTACTATCACGTTTTCACAATCGTGCCACTACATTTTCAACATCTCACACTCTCGTTTTCACCATCGTACCATCACAGTTTTTACCATTGTGCCATCGTGTCTTCATTATCTCACTATCACGTTTTCACCATCTTACAATTGCCTTTTCACCATCGTACCATCGCCTTTTCACCATCGTGACATCCCGTTTTCACCATCGCGTTTTCACCACTGTGCCATTGTCTTCCGATGGTCTTGGGCAATGATACATTTTTATCAACAATATGCCGTCTCATTTTTTAACCCCGCACTCTTCCTATTTACATATATTTTAGTTCTAAGCATTTAAAACATGAAAAATAACAAAAGGCAATTGCTAAAAAATTTATAAATATTTAAGTTGTCATCCTTGGCCGCTGTACAAATGAAGTTTCAAGTTGATATCTTAAATACAGCAAGAGAAAACATGCAAACATTTATTAAGCATATATTAAGTAGTCCTTGATCTATATACAGTATAATGAAATGGAAAATTTAATGTAAAGATAACAGGCTTTATTATTTATAACTCAAAATAATTAATAAGTATTCTAAACTTGTTTTACTATCTGCCTAATTGGAATCTGACATCTGTATGTGTACTGGTCATACTGACCAAAAGTCAATGGCAGGATGATGAAAACGCGACGGTACGATGGTGAAAATGCAATGGCATGATGGTGAAAAGTCGATGGTACCATGGTGAAAACGCGATGGTACAATGGTGAAAGCGCAATGGTACGATGATGACAGCACGATGGTATGATGGTGAAATCATAATGGAACGATGGTGAAAACGCCACGGTACGATGGTAAAAGCCTGATGGCAAGATGATGAAACCGCAATGGAAGGATGCTGAAAACACGATGGTGAAACCGCGCTGGTAGGATGGTATAACATTGTGTATTCACCATCGTACCATAGCGTTTTCACCATCGTACCATTGTGTTTTCACCATCGTACCATTGTGTTTTCACCATCATACCAGCATGTTTTTATCATTGTGTCATCGTACCATCGCGGTTTCACCATCGTGCAATTGCGGGAAAGAACAAAATAAAAAATCACTATTGTCCAAACAAAACATCGTAGTCATGACATTTTGTTATTGTGAAAAATAAAATTTGGCATGTAATTGCTATTTTATTAAGTTGAAAAAAATTCCACTTTTGAAATAACTAGAAATGTGTCCATATGACACAGGTGCCCCGACACTCCACTGCCTATTGACGAACAGCAAGACAATATGACAGAGGGACAAACAAAAGAAATTGTACATAACGACCTCTACCCCTTTAAGTGGTTGTGGCATAAAAACATTTTTGACAAAACTAGAACTGCCACTATCATGGCGTGAATACCCCCCGCATACCACTTTGTCAGAATCAACAGTGGCCATTTAGAGCTCAAGGACAACCTCCCTGCCAAATCTGAGGTTACTAAGCCAGTGCATTGCTAAGTTATGTATTCTACATGCTTCAAATGTGAAAATGTCAAAATCAATACACTGCGGACAGGCATTCTTTAGCAATTGAGAAGAAAAGCTTTTTTTTTTGTCAAGGTCCCTGTGACCTTGACCTTTGACCCAGTGACCTCAAAATCAATAGGGGTCACCTTATGGTCATGATCAACATCCATGCCAAATATGAAGACTGTGGGTCAAAGGAATCTTAAGTTAATGGGTGGACAAACTTTTTGAAGTCAAAGTCCCTGTGACCTTGACCTTTGATCCAGTGACCTCAAAATCAAAAGGGGTCATCTACTAATCATGACTAACCTCCATTCAAAATATGAAGACTGTGGGTCAAAGGAATCTAAAGTTATTGGATAGACAAGCTTTTTATGGTCAAGGCCCCTGTGACCTTGACCTTTGACCTGAAAGTCAATAGGGGTCATCTACTAATCATGACTAACCTCCATGCCAAATATGAAGACTGTGGGTCAAAGCAATCTTAAGTTATTGGGCGGACAAGCTTTTTTTAGTCAAAGCCCCTGTGACCTTGACCTTTGACCTGGTGACCTCAAAGTCAATAGGGGTCATCTTCTAATCATGACTAACCTCCATGCCAAATATGAAAACTGTGGGTCAAAGGAATCTTAAGTTATTGAGCGGACAAGCTTTTTGAAGTCACGGCCTCTGTGACCTTGACCTTTGACCTGGTGACCTTAAAATCAATAGGGGTCATCTACTAATCATGACTAACCTCCATGCCAAATATGAAGACTAAGGGTCAAAGGAATCTTAAGTTATTGGGCGGACAAGAAAAAACCGACAGCCGGACGGACGGACAACCTGATTCCAGTATACCCCCCTTACAACTTTGTTGTGCGGGGGTATAATGATGTTTCCAAACCATAGATGCACAACTACACATGCTGACCATCAGTCCTGTAAACTTTCATGACTAAAGGCCAAATGATTTTTGAGCTACGCATCAAACAATTTTAAATGTATACTAAGTCAAAGGCAATAACAGTTACAAAATCGAATTAATCCAATTGCAAAACCCAAGGTGCACAGCTTCACATACTGATCGGCATTCCTGTAAAGTTTGTTGATTCTAGCTCAAGCATTTTAAAGGAAACACATGACACTTTTTTGTCAAGGGCACTTACATATTCTGATAAAATATACAAGTAATCCCCTGGGTGCACAACTTTAAAAGCTGATAAACATTTCTATAAGGTTTCATGATTCTACATCAAATAAACACAAGTTGAAAATAGCAAGGGCAATTATTTTCTTACAAAACTGAAGTACATGTATTGCACATGCAACATGCTGACCAACACTTCTACTCTAGGTCAAATACTATCAAGCTATGTGCAACACAATTTGAGAATTGCAAATGTTTACTAAGTCTAGGGCAATAACTCTACAATTATTGACAATAATCACATGCAAACACCCAGGTGCACAACTACACATGCTGAACAACATACCTGTGAAGTTTCATGACTCTAGGTCGAACATTTTTGGGGTAAGTGCGACACAAATTGAAAATTGCAAACTTTTAAATTTTGACTCTAGCTCAAGCACTTTTATTAGAGCTACATGCAACACAACAGGAGAATGCACACATGAACGAACAAACAGACAAAGACAAAGGACGAAGACCATGCAAGTTATCGTCCTATCAAATAAAACAAGAGCCGGTTGAACCAGGTGATACTCCCTGAATAGGTTTTGGACACAGGAAAGTATACCTCTTGTAGTGTTAGAGTTATGTCACAGACAAAGTTCAAAGTGTAAAAACAACCCAAATGTTGTGCACGACACATTGTCTCAATATGGTGATCATTTCTGTGAAATAGTTGTAAAATCCAGCTTCAAATATCGAAGTTATTGGCTGCATATGATTTTGCTGCAATGTCATGCTGTGACCTTGACCTTCAAGGTAGCAACCCAAATGTTGCATGCGACACGTCGACACGAACTCGAAACGTACGTGCGTATGTACGTACGGACTGACGGACAACTCGACGACTATATACTTCCCCGAAATTTTTCAGGGAACATAAAAAACATCTATAGTTGTATTAGCAAAAGTGTAAAAATATAGTTACAATGTGAAGTGATCATGTAGTGACACAGTGATCATTGATAGTTACCTTGTGGCATAGACGTGATGTATCTATTGTTGCTATCAATCTGCACATTAGTTGCAGTCTTGAACTGTCCATTCACAAACACATCCAATCTGTTTGGTCTTGAACACCATACAGTAAGTTTAATTCCCTCACTCGCATTTGTGTTCAAAAGTCTGTATCGCATGTGTTTAGGTATTATGCTTGTAAAATGCATCAGATATTCGTGGTCTAAAATGAACAAGTATAATTATGCTTAAAATATCAATAACAGTATATCTAGATACATCTTACCAGGTTTATCTCAAGGAGAGCTGAACATATGGTAAATATTATTTTCCTTTAAATGATGAACTGGCAAGTTATCAAATATCACTTTTTTTTGCATGAAATATATATTTGTTATTTATTACATTTTAAAACTCTCTTTAATGAACTAAGATTTTACAAATACATGATAGTCCAATATACCATAATTGACTACTGTAAACTCATTATTATTCGTTGGGCATGAATTTTCGTGGTTTTCGAGGGTAGGTCAATCCATGAATTTAAGATCCGATGAAATTTTATCCCAACAAATACTTCTTGCCATGTCTCTTTTCTATATATTGCAAACATGCATCAGCACTTTTCAGCCGATTTTTGTGCAATGAATGCCCAGAGGCAAGGATTAAATTTATTGACAACCCAAACCAAAATCGCAAGCTAACATTGCAAGCTTGTCACAAGCTTGCTGCAAGCTTAAGTTGCAAGCTTGCTACTGGCTAGTAATTGGAACCTTGCGGCAAGCTTGCGATCAGTTATTTAAAAAAAATCTGACTGCAAACTAGTTAATATTTAAGCTTGCGCAAGCTTAATCGCAAGCTTGCGCAAGCTTAATCGTAAGCTTGCGCAAGCTCATTTGCAAGCTTGTGCAGGTTTATCTGCAAGCCTGCACAGGCTAAGTCGCAAGCTTGTGCATGTATAACTTCAAGCTTAATGTATAAGCTTGCGCAAGCTTAATGTATAAGCTTGCGCAAGCTTAATCGCAGGCTTGCAAAAACTGTAAACCCTATTTGGAAAGGGAGCTTAAGCGCTGTGTGATATGAAAGATATGTACATGGGGTAAATAGAATGCGAGGCGATTAAGTGTAAGATTACTTTGCATTAGGTTATTTATTTTATTTATCTTCTTTACAAGAAATTAAAAATCCACGAATTTAAGAACCCACGAAAATGCTCATTTTGATAAAACCACCAAATTTCATGCCCACGAATAGAAGTGAATTAGCAGTATTCTATTGATAGCCCAATATACGAGAATTGACTATTCCATTAATAGCCCAATATACGAGAATTGACTATTCCATTTATAGCCCAATATACAATAATTGACTATTCCATTGATAGCCCAATATACATTAATTGACTATTCCATTGATAGTCTAATATACGATAATTGACTATTCCATTGATAGCCCAATATACAATAATTGACTATTCCATTGATTGATAGCCCAATATACGATAATTGACTATTCCATTGATAGCCCAATATACGATAATTGACTATTCCATTGATAGCCCAATATACGATAATTGACTATTCCATTTATAGCCCAATATACGATTATTGACTATTCCATTGATAGCCTAATATACATTAATTGACTATTCCATTGATAGTCCAATATACGATAATTGACTATTCCATTGATAGCCCAATATACGATAATTGACTATTCCATTGATAGCCCAATATACGATAATTGACTATTCCATTGATAGCCCAATATACGATAATTGACTATTTCAATGATAGCCCAATATACGATTATTGACTATTCCATTGATAGCCCAATATACAATAATTGACTATTCCATTTTTAGCCCAATATACGATAATTGACTATTTCAATGATAGCCCAATATACAATAATTGACAATTTCAATGATAGTCCTATATACGATAATTAACTATTTCAATGATAGCCAAATATACGATAATTGACTATTCCATTGATAGCCCAATATACGATAATTGACTATTTCAATGATAGTCCATTAAACAATAATTGACTATTTCAATGATAGTCCAATATACATAATTGACTATTCCATTTATAGCACAATATACGATAATTGACTATTCCATTTATAGCCCAATATACGATAATTGACTATTTCAATGATAGTTCAATATACGATAATTGACTATCTCATTGATAGCCCAATATACGAGAATTGACTATTTCAATGATAGTCCAATAAACGATAATTGACTATTTCAATGATAGTCCAATATACGTAATTGACTATTCCATTTATAGCCCAATATACGATAATTGACTATTCCATTTATAGCCCAATATACGATAATTGACTATTTCAATGATAGTCCAATATACGATAATTGACTATTTCAATTATAGTCCAATACACGATAATTGACAATTCCATTGATAGCCAAATAAACAAAAATTGACTATTCCATTTATAGGCCAATGAATAACATGAATGAACTTAAATCAAATGATTTCTCAGTTTGTCTGACTTTTATTCATAGAAATGTATTTAAAGGAGACACAGGCAAAATTTTCGTTTTTTCGCTTTGCAGTTTTCATTCATTATTTTGTAAATGTCCTCAATATAAATACACTAGGTAGTCAGTGGAACAAAACTTTTCTCTTTATAAAGAATAAAGTGGTAGTTTCCTAACTTGACCCACGTGGGTCAGATTAGAGTGTTGAGATTTAACATAAAAAGCGTTAAAATTTCACAAAAGTTGTCACAGTGAATTCTGGAAACATTATCCACAATATCTGTAATTGTATCTACCAGGGTTTGTTCAAGTCAAACAACTTGTCTTAAAACTACTCAGTGATTTGTTGGCGTCTTAAATTTCGTTCAACACATATTGATGTATTTACACTTTAAAGCCAAAATAATATATATAGAAATTTGTACTGGGACTTTAAAACTGTAATTTTAGTGTGATTTGAGTACTTAAGATCATTTTAATATTTTTGAGCAGTGATTTTTTTCACTTTTTTCACAGCAACCCGTACCCCTGAAAATGTGAATTTTTAGCACAAAAATCTGTCAAATTTTGAAAAAATAAACAAGAATAAATCATCACCGACTTCACCTGTAGTCACTTTATTCATATATTTAACAAGATATGTTTGTAAAACATGTATGCCCCCTATCAGCAGCCAATTGGTCATGTGATAAGGTTATTATGACTTCTGACCCAGTGATCAAACAATTAATAAGGGTTATCAAGTATCTACTGGTCATGACCTTAACCTTTGACCCCTTGACCCAAAACTCAATAGGGGTCATCTGCTGGTCACGACCAATCATCATACAAAGTTTGAAGTTCCTAGGCCTAAGCGTTTTTAGTTAATTGATCGGAAACCGTTTTAACATACAAGGTCAATGTGACCTTGACCTTTGACCCCTTGACCCCAAAATCAATAGGTCATCTGCTGGTCATGACCAATCACCATACCATGTTTGAAGTTCCTAGGCAAAAGGGTTCTTAAGTTATTGATTTGAAAGCATTTTTACCTACAAGGTCAATGTGACCTTGCCCTTTGACCCCTTAACCCCAATATCAATAGGGGTCATCTACTGGTCATGACCAATAATCATACCAAGTTTGAAGTTCCTAGGCCTAAGGGTTCTTTAGTTATTGATCGGAAACCGTTTTTTACCTAAGAGGTCAATGTGACCTTGACCTTTGACCCCTTGACCCCAAAATCAATAGGGTCATCTACTGATCATGACCAATCACCATATCAAGTTTGAAGTCCCTAGGCCTAAGGGTTCTTTCGTTATTGATCGGAAACCGTTTTTACCTACAAGGTCAATGTGACCTTGACCTTTGACCCCTTAACCCCAAAATCAATAGGGGTCATCTGCTGGTCATGACCAATCACCATACAAAGTTTGAAGTTCCTAGGCCTTAAAGTTCTTTAGTTATTGATCGGAAACCGTTTTTACCTACAAAGTCAATGTGACCTTGACCTTTGACCCTTAACCCCAAAATCAATAGGGGTCATCTGCTGGTCATGACCAATCACCATACCAAGTTTGAAGTTCCTAGGCCTAAGGGTTCTTTCGTTATTGATCGGAAATCGTTTTTACCTACAAGGTCAATGTGACCTTGACCTTTGACCCATTAACCCAAAATCAATAGGGGTTATCTGCTGGTCATGCCAATCACCATACCAAGTTTGAAGTTCCTAGGCCTAAGGGTTTTTTTGTTATTGATCAGAAACCGTTTTTTACCCAAGAGGTCAATGTGACCTTGACCTTTGACCCCTTGACCCTAAAATCAATAGGGGTCATCTACTGATCATGACCAATCACCATACCAAGTTTGAAGTTCCTAGGCCTTAAAGTTCTTTAGTTATTGATCGGAAACCATTATTGCTTACAAGGTCAATGTGACCTTGACCTTTGACCCCTTGACCCCAAACTCAATAGGGGTCATCTACTGATCATGACCAATCACCATACCAAGTTTGAAGTTCCTAAGCCTTAAAGTTCTTTAGTTATTGATCGGAAACCGTTTTTTGCTTACAAGGTCAATGTGACCTTGACCTTTGACCCCTTGACCCCAAAATCAATAGGGATCATTTACTGATCATGACCAATCACCATATCAAGTTTGAAGTTCCTAGGCCTTAAGGTTCTTTAGTTATTGATCGGAAACCGTTTTTGCTTACAAGGTCAATGTGACCTTGACCTTTGACCCCTTGACCCCAAAATCAATAGGGGTCATCTACTGGTCATGACCAATCACCATACCAAGTTTGAAGTTCCTAGGCCTAAGGGTTCTTTAGTTATCACTCGGAAACCATTTGGTCTACGGACCGACGGACCAACGGACCGACGGACCGACAAGTGCAAAGCAATATACCCCCTTTTCTTCGAAATGGGGGCATAATAATTATGTTCATAGTTTAAGCTTTCTTCTTTTTATTCCCTAAAATATATCAATCAAATTCTCAAGAATTTGTCAGTTCATTATTTTGTTTGGTACTGAAAAGCAATCCTGCTAATTGTGAATTTTTTACACATTTTTGTGAATTTTTTATGTTTTTTTGTTGTTTTTTTGGCATTGAGAAGAGGCCTTATTTCGGGGTCAAACCAAACTCAGCCAAAAAAAATCACTGGTCTGAGTATCCCTTTAAGTTAATTTACCATTTATAGTATCAAAGAAGAAAATTAAAAAAAACAAATTCAAATAAATGAAAACAATCACGGAAACCCATGGCTTATAAATCTGATCACAAATGAAGAAGGTGTTGATAAAAATGAATAATTTATCTATTTCAAATTGAAAGTAAATCCATGAAGAAACAAGAAATTTCGCACGACACATATGCCCCCCTTTCTAGCACTTGTCTCACATTATTGGTAATTTTGTTATAGAAACTTGCCATAAATGGGTACATGGAAGACCAAGTGTTCAATTATGTAAAAAAGAAAAATAATGAAGACTTTGTGATAAATAGTTATCAAGATAATGAGACGTTTAAGGCCTCTGTGACCTTGACCTTTGAACTAGTGACCCAAAACCAATAGGGGTCTTCTAATTGTTATGATTAGTCAATAATAGAAATATGAAGACTTTGTGATAAATAGATTTCAAGATAATAAACAGAAACCATTCTGACATTTAAGGCCCCTGTGACCTTGGCCTTTGATCTAGTGACCCCAAAAGCAATAAGGATCATCTGTTGGTTATGACCAATCACTATGTGAAATATGAAGACTTTGTGATATAAAGTAACCAAGATAACAAGCAATTATCATAGTATTGCAAGCAATCCATAAGTCCCCTACCGGTTAGAACCCCATCAACATTCTGAAGGGCCATTGGCCATTCACTAATGTTTCAATTTTTCTCTACTTTAAGTAAATTTGTTGGAAAAGTTCTTTAAAAGATCACACGAAACAGTTTTTATGAACAGACAGACAGACGGACTGAAGTTAATATTTGAAACATCCCTGTTACCAAAATATAACATTTTTAAAAGCAAAATTCTTAAAGAGGAGATAACCCTTGAATTAAAGATGCAATTTCATAAAAATTTTCAGCTCTTTTTGACTAATCACAAATATTGTTATATTTGCCATGTTTTAAGCCTATTTGTTGCCAAGGCAACCAATATTTTTTCAAAATAGGAAGAACAGATAAGACATGCACAATCTCAAGACTGCCATCTACCCATATTACAAGTTTCATAAAAATATTTCCAGTACTTTTTGAGTTATCACTGGATTCAGTTTATGTGTAAAATTTGCCATATTTTCAGTCTATGTGTTGCCATAGCAACCAGAATTTTCAACATAGGAAGAAAAGAAAAAGACATGCATAATTTCCAGACTGCCATCTACCCATATTTCAAGTTTCATAAAAACATTTCCAGTACTTTTTGCGTTATCACTGGATCCAGTTTATGTTTAAAATTTGCCATATTTTCAGCCTATTTGTTGCCATAGCAACCAGAATTTTCAACATAGGAAGAAAAGAAAAAGACGTGCATAATCTCCATACTGCCATTTATCCATATATCAAGTTTCATAAAAATGTTTTCAGTACTTTTCAAGTTATCGCGGGATCCAGTTTTGTGGACGGACGGACTGAGAGACAGACAGACAGACGGACGGACAGACAGACGGACAGAGGGTAAACCTAAAGTCCCCTCCGGTAAACCGGTAGGGGACTAATAAGCATACATCATACTACCATTCAAGGCCCCTGTGACCTAGACCTTTGACCTAGTGAGCCCAAAATCAATAGGGGTCATCTACTAGTTATGACCAATCAATTCGGAAAGAAGAAGACTTTGTGATGAATATTTTTTAAGATAATCAGCGGAAACCATTCCCTGGGACCTTGACCTTTGACCTAGTGACCCCAAAATCTATAGGGGTCATCTACTAGTTATGGCCAATCACTATGTGAATTATGTAGACTTTGTGATGAATACTTTCCAAGATAATCGGCGAAAACCTTTCAGACTTTTAAGGCCCCTGTGACCTTTGACTTTGTGACCAAAAAATCAGTAGGGGTCATCTACTAGTTATGACCAATCAATATATGAATATGAAGACTTTGTGATAAATAGTTTTCAAGAGAATAAGCGGAAACTATATTACCATTCAAGGCCCCTGTGACCTTGACCTTCAATCTAGTGACCCCAAAATCAATAGCGGTCATCTACTAATTCAGACTAATCACTATGTGAAATATTAAGACTTTGCAATGAATTGTAACAAAGATAATGAGCAGAAACCATTCAGACATTTGAGGCCCCTGTGATTGTGACCTTTCACCTGATGACCCCAATATCAAAAGGGGTCATCTACTAGTTATAACCAATCAACATGTGAAATATGAAGACTATGTGATGAATACTTTTCAAGATAATCAGCAGAAACCATTCTGACATTTAATGCCCCTGTGACTTTGACCTTCAACTTAGTGACCCTAAAACCATTAGGGGTCATCTACTGGTTATGACCAATCACTATGTGAACTATGTAGACCTTGTGATGAATACTTTTCAAGATAATCAGCGGAAATCATTTTGACATTTAAGGCCCCTGTGACCTTGACCTTTGACCCCAAAGTCAATAGCGGTCATCTACTAGTTATGACCAATCACTATGTGCAATATGATAAATAGTTTTCATGAAAATCAGCGGAAACCATGTGGTATACCGACAGACAGACCGACAGACAGACCGACATTAGCAAAACAATATACCTCCTCTTCTTGGAAGGGGGGCATAATAAGAAAGTTAAAGAATGAATAAGAAAAATTCAAAGTTTAAGGAAGGTAATAATTTTGGAAATATGGATGCTAGATTTATAACCCTTGTCATATTATCATGATGTTGGAGTTGGAAGCAAATCCTGTAAAAAATGAAGAAGTTTGCCTAAAAGATAATCATTTCTAGAAAAAAGTATCTAAGTTCAATGGGGACATAAATCTGGAAAAAGTCAAGCTAGAATATAGAACCTTCTCTGACAAATGATTTGAGTGATGATAAGAATCATATATATAAAGTTTGAAGTAGATAATATTAAGAAATAAAGAAGGTATAAAAAAACACTGTTTTCATGAAAATTCAAGAAGGGTAATTCTGATAATTTTTGTGCTTGAGTTGTACACCTTGTCACTATGATGTGGTTGATGATCAGAAACATACTTTTGAAGTTTAAAGTTGAAAAGCTATCCATCCATATTTCAAGTTTCATGATAATATCTCAGTGCTTTTTGCGCTATCACTGGATCCAGTCTATGTGTTAAATTTGCCATAATTTCATTCGAAAAACAAAAGTTTTCAACATAGGAAGAAAAGAAAATAACATGCATAATCTCCAGACTTCCATCTATCTGTTAAATAAGGTTCAAAAAAATATTTTCAGCACTTTTAGCATTATAACAGAATCCAGTTTTGTGGATGGTAAGACGGGTAAACATATTAAAAGTCCTCTCCGGTTAAACATGTAGGAGACTAATAAGCGTCCATTAAGATGTTACTAGAGTAAAAAATAATGACTGATTATTTCGGCATGTTTTTCTGCAATTTCTGCATTGTAATCCTCATCATCTGGTATGAATTACAGGTTTATAAAGTATTTTAAAGAATCATACCTGTTGCAACAAGTGCGTGGAAAGTCGAAACCCTCTTCCTACAGGTGCTTTTGCTGCACAACCCGTGGTCCTGGGGACCGTTAATTAGATCAATGTATCCATCACCTAAAATGGCAACTGGTGAGAGTCGTCGAGTTTCTGTATCTGAGTCCATGCTTTCTATCACAAGCATCTCGTAATTCATATCGTCAAAACATTCGTATGCTTGCCAGTTAGATACATATTTGCAATTTTCACTACGGATAATACCTGGAAATAATACAAAATGTAGCAGAATTTATAATAAGTACAAGACTGTGACTTCCATATTGGTTATGTATGACAAAGAAAAGATTCCCTTTTACAAAATATAGTTGCAAAACTATGAAGAAATGCTATAACACTTCTCGTATCAAACTCATATGACTGTATTTACTTTTGTTTTTATAAACACATTAGGACAGAATAAAATAAAAGAAAAGTAATATTTAAAACAGAATGCATCATATTGTATTAAACCTTGTTCATTGGACATATAATGTTACCAATACAATGCATTTGGTAAGAAAACACAGACAAAATTAACAATATTTAATGATATATACAGTGTCTATTCTAGGAGGGGGGATCGGGGGATTCACCCATATTTTTGAGAATTCCCCCCTATTTTTTCAGAGGCAGGGGAAAAATTTTAAATAAAGAGAAAGAGGAAAAAAGATCAACAAATGTAATAAATTCTCACTTTTCAATAAAAATCCCCCTTGTTTTTTGAATCCTAGTATAGACACTGTATTTAACAGTATTTGCAGAAGTCCAAAGGGATAATGATGATGTACACATGCTTTTGTTCTTAAATATACTTTAAATGCTTTCAAAATAACGCATAATCACCTTTATATGGAGCAATATTATTATATGGAATTCTTGCACCATCAACCGTGGTCACCATTTCTTTTGGTATCCTATAATCGCCAAGACCTCGTCTCGGATCACCGCCCCATTCATACTCTGACTGAGGGATAACTGTTCCAACATGACCTAAGAATGTTCCATCCAAATCCTTAAACATAGCCTTCTTTAACGCATCACAGTCCATGTCAACACAATCGGCAGAATTGATTTTTCTGAAATGTTTATGTTTCAAAATTGCGAAGAACTCAAATATCTTGTCATCTTTTAAGAAGAATTCTGCTGAAATTGATAAGAATCATAAACTATATGCCATATATGTATGTGAAAGATCTATACTGTTTTCTTTACTATACAACACAAATAAATTGGTAAATTGGTTGTGTATTACTAATGTTGCAGTACATCAATTTTATGTTTTTATATAACTTACTCTACATTCGGTCTGTGATAAATGATTTTGTGGCTACTGTCCACATCTATCAAAGTTGTCCTTTCTGATGTCATTGGGTGTTGTAAATCATCGTTTGCCTCATTTGTTGTCACAGCATAGTTATTCTTGCAAGCAGTCTGTCCATACTTCGCAAAGGTGACATCAGAAATAGTGGTCAAACCACCGATTGCATTGTAACTCATTAGGCCCTTAAATGGTTTTATAGGAGCTTTATTTGACTCTGAAATATAGTTTGGAAATACCAGCCCAACCATGTCACCATTGGGAGGAGAACTTGGACGAGAGTTTGCAGATAGCACTGTATTGTTGTCAGGTGACGGTAACCTATCATTTACACAATCAAACGACGATGTCTGTCCAACAAATGTTGTTCTTTTTATTTCCACACGTTTATCGGCATAAACATGACTTAAAATAGCTGGACCGTTGACAATCGCTAATAAACCATTGGAATTTTCAATCAATAGATTATTTTCGCTGACAAAATTAACTTTAGATTGATAATAGATACCATAGTCATGATTTTTCCATGCAATAAACCCGCTTAATTTGGCACAATCTGCAGGGACTGGATCATCTGGTAGCACGACAGCTCCCAGTATGTTTGCATACATTTTATTATTCCTGTGGTTTCCTGTATTGTCATCACATTCCAATGGTGCTATATGGTAAGCAATTCTTTCTGATGCCGTAACAAGATTGTCCTGAAGAATAAGCCACTTTGCTGAAATTGCCTCAATACCAGCCTCCCAATTTGGATAAAATTCCTCAAAACGGTCCTGGTAAGTGTTTGTGGCTACCATCAAAGATACTAGATTATGTTTAAGGACTGTGCCATCAGACCTTGTGACAATACCTGAAATATGCAAATATATATGTATCTTTTGTAGCATATTTCTTTGCATGTACATGAAAAATGTAAATACTGACTTATTGCAAAAAAGTTTGTAAAATAACTGACACCAATTTACAAAATACAAAACAAAACCCACGAGGAGTATTATTTTCATGTACATTTCTACCATGTTACAGGTAAATAGACATGTATATATTATTTCCGAAAAATGTAAGGTAAGTTACAAACCATTCCTTTTTGAAAATAATAATTCTATTTGCTGGACTAGACATTACAATTGAAGCAAAAATAACATTTATTATTTTTATATTTTTCACCTTTACATATCCTAACAATTTTAACAACTGAATTAAGAGTCATACCATTTCCGATTGATCCAAACACAACATTGTCCAAAATATTTAGACCACCGGTCCTGAATGCTCCTATGGCTGTGTTGAACCCATTGTGGAAAGAGCATTTTGTAACAATAGACGGTCTGACATTACTAACTGTCCCCAATGCGACAAACGCAACTGAAAACCTTGGGTCATACTCGTCAGCATAACCTTCTTGTCCAGTGTGATAAAACTCCACATTAGACAATCGAGCATATCCTGAAACAAGAAGTATTAAATTCATATAGACATTTAACTTCAAATCACATACAATATTAAATACATAGCATCAACCATTTGAATCACAAAATTATTTAGTGAACACTTACTTTAACCCAGTATCACATGAGCATTTTGTGAAAAATGGCTGTTTTCATTAAAAAAAGCCTCATATTACAAGTTTAAAATGCTACGAAACTTTAAAAAATGCTTCAATGCTGATCAATCTTGGCACAAATGTTGACTGGACTAGGGATGCATATTATTAAGAATGGAACGAAACGATAACAACAGTTGTGAAACAATATGGTATTTTATCAATACCAATACTATTTAAGTGTTTGAGCCAGCCATGATGTTGACATCAGCAACAACATGTATATGAGCCATGTCATGACAAAACCAACATAATGGGTTTGCGACCAGTATGGATCCAGACCAGCCTGCGCATCCTCGCAGTCTGATCAGGATCCATGCTGTTTGCTTACCAACCCTATTACAAGTAGAGAAACTGATAGCAACAGCATGGATCCTGATCAGACTGCGCAGGCTGGTCTGGATCCATGCTGGTCGCAAATGCAATATGTTGGTTTTGTCGTGACGCGGCTCATGTATATTATAAAATTTGAGTATTTTCATGCAAATTGCCGAAATGTTTTATAGCATGTAATTATAATTTTTAAGACTGATCATCAAAAAGTGATCAACAAATGCCATATCAAGTATTTGAATTTATGCAGCATGTTATTTAGTTAAGGTTTTCGTTATTACGAATATCGCGAGCACTTGCTAGTGATCTCCCTTCAACTTGGATTACAAACATTTAGGACCATAGCCATTTTGCATTCTTTTTGTGATATTATTGAGATAAATGATCGTCTGTACATTATTCGTTTTCCTTTGTATTTTTGTATATATTCTTTGCTTTTAATTTTGAAAGTAACATTTTATATACTGGTACTTTTTGAAACGGTATTAACCAGTAAATTATGAAAGTCCAAGTACCGGTTATAAGTATCCAACCATATCCAATCCAACATAGCGTTTGTAATTGCATGCTCAATCTTTAATTTCCTGTTTTCACAGCAACATTAGGGGACATCTCAAAATTGCCAAAAATTACTATTTTGGGTTGATTTTTTTCATCAAAACTAATTTCAGTGCTGCAACTTCTCAATGGATTGAGATAGAGTCAAAGGCTTTTCAGCGTTTGTTACATGTTATGTTAACATTGACCTGAGGCAATTTTTGGTCTCTCGCAAGTTCAAAATCGTCTTGGTGATGAGGGAGGCTGCTTCCCCCCTTCAAACCCCCCTAATCAGAAGGAGGCGCAACCCCTCTCTGGCAGCCCCCTATATATCCTTTGATAGAGGGCAGCACTGAAAAAGTGATCACTTTTTTAACAAAATTTCTCAATGAAAACAAGTGGTTGGGGTCAGAATAGGGCTTTTTTTTCACTATTTTTAGGTCTCAAAAAGTTGGGGGAGGGGGGTTAAAAGGCGTGTATATAGATGGTTATGAGTTATGAGTTTAAGAGTGAAAAGAAAGTTCAAAAAGATGTTATTATTTGCTTTCAAAGTAAGTTTTTGAGTAGAAGCAGATTTCAAAGAAACAAAGTAACAAAGCATTTTATTACCTCTGTGTGTTTTTTTTCCTTTGACAACACCAACTAAGACTCGAGCCCCATATGATTCCGTGTACAGTTTGTCATAATCTTCACCAATGATTTTAATATTACGCGTTAAATGACCAACAGCGGCTCCCATTGATATATCCACACCATTTGCCAGGGTTTCCTTATGAGCTACATTGTATCAAGTTGACAAAATAAACAATAAGAGGGCCATGATGGCCCTGAAATCGCTCACCTAAATATAATATGTAAAATCTTAATCTAAAACTGATATCAAAAAGTTCATATCTGTAGATGAAATAGTGCATGTGTAAAAACATTATAGGTTTGCTATTGCTGAGGAAAAACAACAGTTCTAAAAGATGTGTACATGTAAGGAAAATCAATGAAACCTTGGAACAGGGCCAATTTTGACACTAGGTCTACTATTTGAACTTGGTAGAAAACTCTCTAGAAGATGTTTCATGCTACTATCTAAGTTAAAGCTCTTTGATTTATCAAAAGAAGGTGTTGTTTTTTTTTAATTTTTACTATTTACATTGTTATTGTAAATATAAGGAAAATCAATAACCACCTTGGGTTGGGCCAATTTTGACCCAAGGGCTTAAAAATTATTTGAACAAACTTGGTAGACACCAATTAAAGGAGATTATTCTTGCTTAATATCTTATGTCTAGCTCTGGCTTTTTAAAAGAAGATTTTTTAAGTTTTTACTATATACATACAGTGTAACTTCCGAAAACCGAACACCCATGGGACTTGTCAAAAAGTTCGGATTTCAGAGGTTTCCGGAATTCAGAGGTTTATGATAATGCGGACAAGACTAAGCCACTTAATATCACTAAATGTCAAGGAAGAAGTGGCCTTCCCAAACCAAAATCGCAAGCTTTATAAAAGCTTGCGACAAGCTTGCAACAAGCTTGTCGCAAGCTTGCAAATAAAGCTTGCGGAAAGCTTAGAATTGGAACCGCGCGGCAAGCTTGCCGCAAGCTTGCGGGAAGCTTGCAGCCTGTTTTCAAAAATGCATGCTTTAGATTTGAAAGGCACCACAAGCTTGCGACAAGCTAGTTGCAAGCTTGCGGCAAGCTAGTTGCAAGCTTGCGGCAAGCTAGTTGCAAGCTTGCGGTAAGCTAGTTTCAAGCTTGCGGCAAGCTAGTTGCAAGCTTGCGGCAAGCTTGCCTCTAGCTTGCGACAAGCTTGCGTCTGGCCTGTAGCAAACTTCTTTAAATTCTCCAATATTGCAATTAATCGTCCTCATGTGATAAGGTATAACATTAATAAACTATTACATAATAGAATTAATTTATTCATTTCAACTTATTTCTAGATTTACAAGTCATCTTAACAAAAATAATTCCATAACACAAATTCAAAAAATAATAAATGTCTACCAAGTTGAGAAAATAGAAAACAATTTACATTATTTATTTAAGATAACTGTTTTTTTTTGTTTTTTTTGTTTGTTTTTTTTTCAAATAAGTATCCATAATTTATGATAAATCATGTCCTTCACAGATTCAGTCTTTCAGAATGGCTTCACTGTGGCACACAACTATCCATATTATTGACTGCCTGTTGTACACACTGAAAAAAAATTGTATCATAATTAATTATTTATGTTTAATATGCATATGATAGTGGTTTTATTGGCATGTAATTAAAAAGATCAATATTTGAAAGCACAAGTTGCATAGTAAAATATTATTTTTTTGGCAATAGTAAAATATTAATTTTGGGCAATTTTGCCAGTTTAATTATTTATAAAAATTAAAATTGTTCTTGCTGCAATAGTTTTTAATTTTGTTAAATATTTCTATAAATAATTTCAACAACATAGATCTATATCTAACAAGGCAATTGTTAGTTTAAACAATACAATTGAAAATTATTCACATTCCTACTGGTTTTGACTGATAATGAATCTTTTTATCAGAACTTTTATTTTAACTATATGAAAATTTTAAATAGTGAATGTATTACATGCATTTAAGTATTGTACAAACATTTAAGATAAATAATATTGTAATTTAAGTAAATCTTTAATATACAAAAATTATATTCTATACAATCATTTTATTTAAATGGATTGAAAGTTGTTCATCTAACAGTTAAAATTGTTCAAATCAATTGTAATTATTTATTTCATTATTTTTATCAATTATCTAACCTTATTGAATAACAAAACTAACCATCAATTATTTCTGTAATCAACCTCATTTTTCTTTCCTTCATCATTATAATTTGAAACTCTCTATGATACCTGTGTAGAATTGTAAGTTTTCCTGTAAATAAGAAAAAAATATTCATTACTATAAATACATAATAATTATATAAATTGAGTAAAATCAAAATGCTTATTCTGATAGTAGTTTGGTACTGTTAATATAAACCCATAATTTACTGAAATATCCTCAAAATGTAAATGGTATGAAAAATCATGACCAGGAATATAATTTACTGGTACATAATGTAAAGAAAAGGGCAGATTTAAAAATTCCCACTCAATAACACTCAGTGAAAAAGATTTAAATCAGCACATATGTTAAATTTATGAAGAAAAACAAAAACTAAAATTAAAAGTGTTCATTTGCAAGGTAAATTTGAAAAGACTGTTGTAACAAAATAGTCTAAATAACTTACCATTATTCCATTGAACAGTAGTTAGAAATTTCCATTTCCATCTGATTGAAGAACTCCTTTAATATCCCATTATAATTTTATTAAAGTTCACATTATAAAGTTGTTTCATCTAAATGGCACTTTAGTCACATGTTTAACTCTACTCCTAAGCATCATTTTAAATTATAAGCACTGAGGTCCAAATAAACTCTTCCTGAGTATAATATTTGAATTTTCCGAGATCAGATCCTGATACCAGATTGGTTCAGGGTATTAGATTACATGTTGTAAACCCCACTTATCTCACACTTTCTTTTATATAAGATAGGTGAGTTTAACACTGGTTATTATGAAAACAGTAGGGCGAAAGTAATGATGCACTTGACTGATCACTGACCAATAACACATGTTTATAGTAAGTTACAATCACTTCAATGTGTGAACAGTCTACAATTAATACTCACAGGAGACCAATTTATGAAATGTTAAATTGAATCTTAATTATGCCATAATTAACTTCTGCACAAGATAGTTAATATTTAAGAAGGGATATACTTGTGCTAATGAATTAAAAATTAAAAGACACATGAATAAAACAAATTAACATTCAATGATTGAAATAAAAAAAATAGCCCTTAGACAAAATAAAATGTTCATTATATTTGCTTGTATGTTCACAATTGTTAAAAAATGTTACTTTTGTTAACTTTCATAATAACTAATTTAAAATACTGACTTTATCTTAGTTTAATTGTGTTGAAAGCTTTAATTAGAAATTTATAAGCTGAATTAACACTCTTGATTTCCTCTTTCATTTTGATTTTGGGTGATTTTCTTTTTTTTACTGAACATCATCCAGATGTCTCAAGTGAACCTCTAATTTTTGACATGGCATTAATTAATAATTTTGAGAAAGTAATAAGAATTTTAATAACACTAGTGAGTAATTAAAAAAATTGATAAAGTTATATGAATCTTAAAAACAAAGAATGTAAGACAGGCAAATAAAATCTATGAAATAAATGTTTTCATTTGAATCCCATTATATTATATAAATGCTAATTAGTTTGAGTGAAATGATTTTATAAACATTTCCAAGTTTTTGTACTTAGAAATTTTTCACTACTTTTCATTTTCCTGCTTTCACAGAATTTTCTAAGTCTAAACTTTCGAAGAAGCTTGCGCAAGCTTGCGATAAAAATTGTTTTGTAAGCTTGCGCAAGCTTGCAGAATTCTGTATGAAACTACTTGCGAGCTTGCGCAAGCTTGCAGCAAGCTTACAGCAAGCATAAATAGCCAATGTAAGCTTGCGACAAGCTTGCAGCAAGCTTGTCGCAAGCTTGCCTCAAGCTTTCCTTTTGGTTTGGGTTTACTGTAATATCATATATAATAGTCTTTTAATCAAGATAAAGATGTGAATGAAAAGAATACATTTTTATCTTACTTGCAAATGCTTTTGAATTTCTATCAGTTTGTAGAAATGTTGTTAATTGCATAAACTTACATATCGTCTGATGCTAGTTAATTAATTATTACATCAAATGCAATAAAATCCCTAAAGACTTTTGATGCATACATTGTCCAATTAATTGTCATTTAATCCGCTAATAAACACTTCAAATTAACTGACCGCCGTAAATTACTTTGATTAACCGCATCACTTCAAACATACCATTTCACAGTTTGTGATTTTAACGCGTGTCAAATTACACGATCACCGCTAATTAGTAAACAATCGATAGGGAGATTAAATCTTCCTGCAGGGTTTACAATGTATTTCACACCTTTGGATATTTCCGGTTTTTGGAGGTAAAATTGCATTGATTTGACTCTAATTTTACAAAAATATCGTCCGGAATTCAGAATTTAGAAGTTCCGGAATTCAGAAGTATTATATTAATAGAAAATAGAAGGGAAAAAATCGGGACCGAAAAAATTGTTCGGTTTTTAGAAGTTTCCGGATTTCAGAAGTTCCGGAATTCGGAAGTTACACTGTATAAGGAAAATAAATGACAGGCCATGACACAGGCAATTTTAACCCCAGGACTTTTATTTAAACAAACTTGGCAGACACCCACAAGAAGATGTTTCATGCCAAAGATCTAAGCTTAAGCTATTTGTTTGTTTTTTTAAAAGAACCCCGGGGGCAGGACCAATTTTGACCCAAGAGCTTTTGTGTGAACAAACTTGGTAGACACTTCCTAGAAGATGTTTTATGCCAAATATGTAAGTTCTAGCTTTTTGGTTTTTTTAAGGAAGATATTTTAAGTTTTTTCTTTCGATTGCCATAGAGTTCTGCAGGGAATTAAATTCTCTGAACATTTTTGATAGGTGACCACCGAAGAAACATTCCTGTGAAGCTTGGATGAAGTTGATCTAGCGGTTTATGAGATGTTGTTTAAGTAAAAAATAACAGACGACCGGACGGACGCGGGATGAAAAGCAATCACATTAAAGCTCACCATGTCACTTTGTGACAGGTGATCTAAAAACGCTTGCACACATTTAACAGCGCGTATTGGATCAAATTAAAATAAATTTACCTTGCAATTTAAGTGTATCTTTTTTTTATTTATTACTTTTAATAACATTATCATATTTTATATGTTTCTCACACAAATGCGAAAACAAAACTAAATGATCAAGATATTTTGAATAAAAATCACTTTAACATATGTTTTAACTATGACATTTACAGATACAAATGGATTGCTAGATGCAACATAATTTTAAGACAAGCAAATTATGCCATGAATACTTACTAGTACAACATGTTCAATGTAATTTATTTGTAAAAAGTAAGGAAGCAATTATAGTTATAATACTAACTTAGATAACAGATAAAACAATCAAATAAAATATTTACCTATATGTTTGTATTTCAAAGTCTCGTTTAAAGTCAAAGTAATATTGTCTGAGGCAATGGCAGTGATTTTAAAAGATTCAGTCTGCCAGGCATTAAAGCTGGTGGAACCGACAACGATTTCATCATCAACTGACCACTGTACTGGTTCTTTTAATGTAATCGTATTAGAGCCAGCATTAACAGTAGCTGCTAGTTCAGTCCATGTTGTTCCTACATCTTTCCCAAACAAATCCAGTCCTCCAAACACTCCTAGAAGTACACATGATTGTTCTAGATACACAGGTTATAGCAAACAGATTCTTAATATTTTCCAATCAGTTGAAAATGAATAAACAGTAAAAAAAAGGTTTTGATAAAATTACAAATTTAATAATTACCTAAATGGTTGCAGTATCTCACACAGACACTTTTACAATGTTTAACATGCTAATTACTTTCATTTTATACACTTGGTGAAAGTTTTATATGAAAATATATTCTTCTGGTTTAGGCAAGTAAATAATTAAGTACTCAAAGTAAAGAATATTGTATAAAATCTTTAAATATATTTTTCCCTAAACATCTAAAACAAAAACAAAACTGTGACTTAAACATTTCCCAAAACTTTGGATGATACAATAAGAAAACAAGAGTCGGTTGAACCAGATGATGCTCCCTGATTAGGTTTTGGACACAGAAAAGTATACCTCTTGTAGTTTCAGAGTTCTGTCCTGGACAAAGTTCAAAATGCAATAACTCAAAAAAAAGGCATGGCAGAGTTATGTTTTTTTTGCACTGCATATCTACCTCATGAGATCTATCTACCAACAAAGTTTCTTGTTGATAATTCCTATAGTTTCAGAGTTATGTCCCGGACAAAGTTAAAAGTGAAAAAATGAACAAAGGGCAATAACTCCAAAAATAGGCAAGGTAGAGTTAGTTTTTGCATTGCTCATCTACCCAATGAGATCCATTTACCTATTCACATCTCATTTAGTGTCAGAGTTGTGTCCCTGACAAAGTTCAAAGTGTAAAAATGAAGTTTAAAGTGTAAAAATGAACAAAAGTTAATAACTCTTAAATTTGGCCAGGCAGAGTTACTGTTCTTGTGCACTGCACATCTACCTTGATCTACCTACAAAGTTTTATGTTCATACCTCTTGTTGTTTCAGAGTTATATCAGGGACTCCTGGACAAGAAAAGCTGAAGGACAGCCGGACAAAGTAGCGACTATATGCTCACCCTTCGGGAAGCATAAAAATTGCTTCTTTTTTCAGATGTAAAACGATCAAACATACATTTCATCCATTATTTAAACGTTATGAAACAAATGAGCCGCTTCACGACAAAACCAACATAATGGGTTTGCAACCAGCATGGATCCAGATCAGCCTGCGCAGTCTGATTAGGATCCATGCAGTTCGCTATCAGTTTCTCTACTTGTTATACCTGGGTTTGTAAGCGAACAGCATGAATCCTGATCAGACTGCGCGGATGCGCAGGCTGGTCTGGATCGATGCTGGTCGCAAACACATTACGTTGGTTTTGTCGTGACGCAGCTCAAATGTTTGACATTTGTAGTGAATGCAAAATTTGGATTTTCTTTCAGGAAAAATGTAAATTTAAAGAAAACTATAGGATGACAACGCTTTTTCTTACCAATTGCCTTTGAACCGAGGTTTGTTTCTTCGCCAGTACTATAATAAGGCGATGAATCATTCCCATGAAGAATGATAGAAGCAATTCCATCAAAGGGATCATCTGGCCATCCAACAATTAAACGCCCACATTTTATAATGATGAAATCAGCTTCTATAACATACTGAGCTGATGGATCATTAGCAAATTCTAGAACGCCCTCTAATAACAGTATGCCAAACTTATTAATTGATGTCACGTTCACCATAACCCAAGTATCTGTAAAAAATAATACCAAAAAATACATATTTTACAGAATTACTGTGATCATTTAAAATTTACATAATTGTCATGAATTTATTTTAAGTATTCAAATATAGTACAGTAAGAATTGAGGTATAAACAGTGTAAGAAATAAGAAAATATGAGGGGTGTTCAAATATGAATGCTACTAGGCCAATATCTCGCTTTTAACCACATTTTGCACGAACTCTGCATATGTATCGCATAGATGGTTGTGTAAGCTCTCAATTGATACATGTGTAAATTAGTTCAGTCTAGCTTTGACAATAGCTCGATTAACTCTATCTACTTGTGTAATTACTACAGCCAAAATAGTTCGGAAAAGGTCTCCTTTCACTGACCAAATATGGTCCTGTATCAACAGCCGCTGTATTCTTGGTATACAGGTGAAAGACATATTTAATGAAATATGTTATGTTCATGGGAACAATGAACTTTCTTTTTTCATCTGTCGCACGTTGGTGTAAGAAATTTAAAAATGATGTGGATTCAGTAAAAGGTGCACCTCACGCACGCTGTCGGAAAAATGCAACTTTGCCAAAAATGGTTGAAAAGCAAAAAAGTAAAGGATTTGATTGCTACTGATGCAAGATTTGCAACTAGGTATAAAGCTAAATGCATTGGTATCTCTGTAGAAGCCGCTCATACAATTCTCAAACGTAATTTAAAGGTTAGAAGGATAAGTGCCAGATAGATACCCCTTTTCCTTACAAAAGAGCAAAAACTACCTCGGGTAACAGTCTCTCAACAATTGTAAAAACAGATCCCTAAATACAGCAATCGATCTCTCTAAACAAGAGGGCCGTGATGGCCCTGAAGTCGCTCACCTGTATATAAGCCCCCGGAGCGGGGCCAGTTTAAACCCCAGGGCTTTTATTTGAACAAACTTGGTAGACACCCATAAGAAGATGTTTCATGCTAAACATCTAAGGTCTAGCTGGTCAAGTTTTTTCTTTACACATATAGTAAAAAACAATGACACACCTGGGGCAGGGCCAGTTTTGACCCCTGGGGGCTTTTATTTGAACAATCTTTGTAGACACTTACTAGAAAATGTTTCAGGCTTAATATCTAAACTCTAGCTATTCGGGTTTTTTCAAAGAAGATTTTTAAGTTTTTGCTATACACATATAAGGAAAATCAATGTCCCCCCGGGCGGGGCCAATTTTGACCCCAGGGCTTTTATTTGAACAAACTTTGTAGACACTAACTAGAAGATGCTTTGTGCTTAATATCTAAACTCTAGCTATTTGAGTTTTTTCAAAAAAGATTTTTTAAGTTTTTGTTATACACATATAAGGAAAATGAATGACTCCCATGGCGGGGCCAATTTTGACCCCAGGGCTTTTATTTGAACAAACTTGGTAGACACTAACTAGAAGATGTTTCATGTTTAGTATCTAAACTTTAGCTATTTGGTTTTTTTCAAAGAAGATTTTTTTTAGCTTTTGCTATACACATATAAGGAAAATCAATGACCCCCGGGGCGGGGCCAATTTTGACCCCAGGGCTCTTATTTGAACAAACTTGGTAGACATCCATTAGAATATGTTTCATGCTAAATATCTTAGCTCTAGCTCTTTGGGTTCTTTAAAAGAAGATTTTTTAAGTTTTTACTATATGCATATAGGGAAAATCAATGACCCCCTGGGGCGGGGCCAATTTTGACCCTAGGGCTTTTATTTGAACAAACTTGGTAGACACTTACTAGAAGATGTTTCATGCTTAGTATCTAAACTTTAGCTATTTGGTTTTTTTCAAAGAAGATTTTTTAAGTTTTTGCTATACACATATAAGGAAAATCAATGACCCCCGGGGCGGGGCCAATTTTGACCCCAGGGCTCTTATTTGAACAAACTTGGTAGACATCCATTAGAATATGTTTCATGCTAAATATCTTAGCTCTAGCTCTTTGGGTTCTTTAAAAGAAGATTTTTAAAGTTTTTACTATATGCATATAGGCAAAATCAATGACCCCCTGGGGCGGGGCCAATTTTGACCCTAGGGCTTTTATTTGAACAAACTTGGTAGACACCCATTAGAAGATGTTTCATGCTAAATATCTTAGCTCTAGCTCTTTGGGTTCTTTAAAAGAAGATTTTTTAAGTTTTTACTATATGCATATAGGGAAAATCAATGACCCCCTGGGGCAGGGCCAATTTGGACCCCAGGGCTTTTATTTGAACAAACTTGGTAGACACACACTTGAAGATGTTTCATGCTCTAGCTCTTTGGGTTTTATAGAAGAAGATATTTAAAGTTTTTTCTTTTGGTTGCCATGGCAACAAGAGTTCTGCATGGAATTAAATTCTTTGAACAATTTTCAAAGGTGACTACCAAAGAAACATTCCTGTGAAGTTTGGATGAAATTGGCTTAGTGGTTTATGAGGAGATGTCATTTAAAGTAAAAGTTTACGGACGCCGGATATGGACGACGGTCGGATGCATGACGAAAAGCGATCACAAAAGCTCACCCTGTCACTTTGTGACAGGTGAGCTAAAAATCATTAATAGCGATTAATTCGGGCTCACTTTTATAAGCCCACGCAAAAAATACACAAGACTAGAAATGTGTCATCATGCCACGGATGCCCCCGCATGCAGCCAAAATTTCAGATGTTATAATATTTAGTTCCAAATTTGTTTGCACAAATTATTTTTTTCATTTGCAGTTCAAAGCCCTTAAAACTTTTCAATGTTAACACAAACCATTTTCATACAATGTTCAAAGCACTGAAATTATTCAGTCTTAACCTTTTGAAAATAGCATATTTCATATTTGTAGCCAAAATAATGGCTACATACATTTCCACAAAAGTATGAGTGCTGAAACTGAAAGTTCAAAATTTTTCCAACATTCAAGAAAGATAAGTTTGTCCAAAATCATTGAACCACGACCAAATTCAAACTTTCCACAAAAGTATGAGTGCTGAAACTGAAAGTTCAAAATTTTTCCAACATTCAAGAAAGATAAGTTTGTCCAAAATCATTGAACCACGCCCAAATTCAAACTTAAACTGCTTATTCCTAAGATGTATCTATATTATTTTCAAAGTTAAAGGGACATAACTCTGCCAAAAAATCATAGAACCATGACCAAATTCCAACTTGACCTGCCCATTCCTTTGACATATCCATATGTCAAATTTGAGTTGAATATGTAACACTGTTGGGTAGATAATGAACAGAAACTGTAAATTTCATATTATTTTCAAAGTGAAAGGGGCATTACTCTGCCAAAAATCATTGAACCATGACCAAATTCGAACTTGGCCTGGGCATTCCAAAAACATATCCATATGTCTAATTTGAGTTGAATGTGTTGTACTGTTGGGGAGATAATAAACAGAAACTGAAAATTTCATATTATTTTTAAAGTGAAAGGGGCATAACTTGGCCAAAAATCATTGAACCACGACCAAATTTGAACTTGACCTGCACATTTCTTTGATGTATCCATATGTCAAGTTTGAGTTGAATGTGTTGTACCGTTGGGGAGATAATGAACGGAAACTGAAAATTTCATATTATTTTCAAAGTGAAAGGGGCATAACTCTGCCAAAAATCATCGAACCATGACCAAATTCAAACTTGACCTGTATTTTCTCAAGACATATCCATATGTCAAATTTGAGTTGAATGTGTTGTACTTTTGGGGAGATAATGAACGGAAACTGAAAATTTCATATTATTTTCAAAGTAAAAGGGGCATAACTCTGCCAAAAATCATCAAACCATGACCAAATTCGAACTTGACCTGTATTTTCTCATGACATATCCATATGTTAAATTTGAGTTGAATGTTTGCAATCGTTACTAAGATAATGAACGGAAACTGATGATGACGGAATGACAGAATGACGGAAGGACGGAACAGGGTAACACTATATGCCCCGGCCATTACATGGCGGGGGCATAAAAAGCATTGATGCAAAGCATCAAAGGGCGTCCAAGCAAGAAATGCAGCAGTTGAAGATGAACTAGTAGATATATGATGACAAGATATTCTTATAAACTTTTCAATGGTTAATTGGTTTTTACCAGAATTGTATATCACTTATGAATGAACGGACGAAAGACATTGTTCATTATTAACTTTGATTAGCATGCTAGAGATTAGAATATATCTTGTTATTTCTTTATAGTCGTGGTTATTAATAGCAACGGATATACATGTATACAATCATTTATAATCCATATGTGTAACGCATGATCAACACCACACTTGTGTAATTGTCTCTTATTATGTTATCGCTATTAGCGAAGAACCCCTCTTAAGGTATCTGTTCACACTTAGTAACAATATGACACTGGTTATATTACCATGTTGATCATGTTGAGCATAATTGTTTATTATACAATAATTGTAATATTTATTTTAATAAAAAAAATACAGATTTTATGAATATTGTTTTCTTTTCTTTTTTGTGTTTTTTGTGCTTTTTTAATACTGAGTTTTTACGTTTACTACTATTTTAAGAATTCAATTGTCATATTGACCAACGATTATAAGTCAAAACTTAACTGGAAAAAGTCAGTAAATTATGGTTAATCTTTCAATATATAATATTGTTTAAATTTAAACCATATGCATGTACATTTGTATTTTTCTTTATCATTTTTTAAATTATCAATCAATTAAATAATTCATAAAATCTAATTTGTAACTTTGAATAATTCCTCGGTATCTTTACTAAACACGAATAACAAATTAAATAAAATGTTTCAGAGTTGATAGTGTCATATTAAAACCATAAAAATGTACCTTTTTTTCTCAATTATTGAACATATTTACTGTTTTATCTCATATGGATAAAATAAGACATGCTATTGTTGTTGGTGGGTTTTTTTTTCGAATTGTATGGTTATGTATAATAATAATCTATAAATTTTAGAGTTCATCTGTGTTTATTAATTATTGTAACCAAACTAAGTGACAAACATTCATTTTGAAAAAAAGCTTTTTTTATCTGTAAAATATTTGTTCTGTTCTGTAACGATATCAAACATCTAGGCCTATTTGCCGGTCACTAGTAAATCCCGGTCAAAATAGACCAGGAGAGACCGGGAATTACCGATAGGAGTACATCCCTCTATAAATAGATTTTCGGAATATTTAGGTCATCAACTCATCATTCTATTTACATGTACAACAATAACATACCATAATAACCCACTGTGTACTACAAAATGATAAATAAAAAATACACCGAAGAGCGCGATTTATTGACGGAAAAAAGTTTGCATTGCAAAATTCTCCAGTTCGCTATTCATTGTACATATCGCGATATTTCATTTTTAATTAATAATTAAACACCCTCATACCGATCGGAATGATCGGCTTTTATTATGACCGACTAAAAGGCTCGAGAAGTTGCTGTCGCCCTTTCACAAAATCTGATTTCATTCCATAAGAGGCGCCGCGCTTCGGCGCGGACGCCAATAACAAAATATGGGCAACCAAAGTAAGTCAAAGACCTTGCATAGCAAAACACACACCATGAGCATCAAAAAGGTCATGTTTGTAATTTTCTTAATCAATCAAGGTTCTGCTATTTAAATTGTCGTATCAAAGGGTAAATCTGTAAATGCCAAGTTTTACAAAGGAAAAGTCTTTCATAAATTAAAGAAATATTTCAAAAACCGTCAACAAGCAACTGGTCTCCGTGGTGTCAGGTTGATGCATGACAAAATGCTTCGTCACACAAAGCCGGCATTGTACGAGTATATCTGAACAAGACCACCGCAAGGCGGAGCATTATATGCTCGAAAGTATTTTTTCTCTAAAGCTGTTAATCCTATAAAATTTTACAGCTGTAGGTTGATTAATTTGCATTTATAACATGGTGGCGAGTATTTTGAAGGATTGAAATAATTATTTTGGCACTGTTTGTTAAGCACTTCTGAAAATTGACCCAGTTGCAAATGCATTCATATCTGAACACCTGTCATACTTAAGGCCATTTTTTAGCTAGACTATTTTTTTTTTGGAAAAAAAGTAGAGGTATTGCTACAGACGCCGTGGCGTTGCCGTTGCCGATGCTGTTCCCATCCGCAAACTTGTACCTGGATCATAACTTTTTAGCTCACCTTGCACAAAGTGCAGGTGAGCTTTTAGGATGGCCAACCAATGCGTCCGGCATCCGTCCACATTTTATTCAAACGACATCTTCTACAAGACCACTTGGCCAATATTAATGAAACTTGGCAGGAATACTCTTTGTATGAAGCTTTATCAAGATTGTTCAAAGAATGCCATTCTATGCTAAACTCTGGTTGCTATGGCAACTAAAAGAAAAAACTTAAAAGTTCTTATACTTCAAAATGGAAAGGGCTAGAGCTTAGATATTTTTCACAATGCATTAGCTTCTTAGTTCCTACAAAGTATATTCAAATTATGGTCTAAAGTTGAAAATCGGTCTCTGTTTTGGGAGTTAAAGGTTTTTTTTTATTGCAAGGTTATATAGACTTTCTTTGTAGGGATAAATTGAGATAGTGTATCTTGTATTTTTTGTCTCAACAGACATAATGTTATGAAGATTTTTTTTTTGTTAAAGCATAAGAAGGATGAAAAGTTTGTTGAATGTGAATGTTAATTCAAAACAGAGTCAATCAGAATAGCACAAATTTGAGAGCTACAGTGAAGTTGATTTCCCTATTCAATAATGGATTCTTCCATTAATTTCGTAACACCATCAGAAAGGAAGACTGTGTCATTTCCGAAATACAATGTAAAATATTTCGGTTCTTAACAATGACTTGCACATTTTATTGTGTAAGATATTGCACAAAGAAACGAAAGTGAATAAAAATGTTGTTTTTTTTCCGCAGAAATTAGTTGATAAAGATAAAAGTTTAATTTACAGTACGGATATTACTTTTTGTATCCTTCCGGTTTGCGGGAAAAATCATATTTCAACATCGTCTATACCGCTCCTACTGAAGATGAATTATGTCATAATATTTCATTCTAAGAACAAACATACGATTCAAATCATTAAATAATGCATACCATTCAGTCTATGAAAAAACTGTGCGTCAGAAAACATCTGTATCAATCTGACCTCGAGTTGAGATTATAAATTATACTAAACCGGAAGTACATGACTAAACGTCCGCCAATCAGGAAAATTGAGAAATTTTGTAACATAAACTCGTATTTCATAACAAAGAAGTAAATATGAATACAATTATCGGTGTGCTTCGTTGAAACAGGTATTTTGTTAACTATTTGTGAAGTATTAAGGCATGACATTCAGTATTTATGTAAATATCACCTCCCAACGTCCCGTGTTATGATTTATAAAATTATACATGTACACATGTGTTATTGACCTCAATAGATGTAAGTGAAAATGAAACAATAATTATGGTAATTATCCATGGTGCTAGTATTATACTTAATTATCTTTATCATATTGTTAACTAAGCAAGAAAATTACGTAATTTTAAAATAACTTAACCTCACAATATAATCAATTTAAACTTGAAAATCTTCTCAAAATGACTTCCCAAACAGTAATTTTTGAATTCATTTTTGAAACATGAAAATGGTTCATGTAGAGAAATATAAGAAGAACAAGAGCCACCACCGGGCAGGGTTAAGGGGCCTCCGTGGCCGAGTGGTTAAAGTCGCAGACTTGAGATCACAGGTCCCTCACCACTGTAGGTTCGATCCTCACTCGGGTCGAAATCTTTCATGTGAGGAAGCCATCCAGCTGGCTTACGGAAGGTCGGTGGTTCTACCCAGGTGCCCGCTCGTGCCTGAAATAATGCCCGAAGGGGCACCTGGGGTCTTCCTCCACCAATAAAGCTGGAAAAAAATCGACGAAAAAATCTCGGCGGGACGCTCTAGGATGACCCGACTTGAGTGTACGGTCGCCCATATGGGCTTTCCGGCGGCGACCTTAAAATAAACGAAAAAAAAAAAAAAAAAAACCGGGCAGGGGCAACGCTCGACTTTTTACTTTTTCTAAAAGCAAACATAGAAAGGTTTGAACATATCTTAATGTTTTCTTTTTATAAATTTAGTTGGTCTGTCTTGTCACAAGAATAGAAACACGCAATTCTATAAATAGAAACACGCAATTCTATAAATAGAAACACGCAATTCAATAAATAGAAAGACGCAATTCTATGAATAGAAACACGCAATTCTATAAATAGAAACACGCAATTCTATAAATAGTAACAAGCAATTCTATAAATAGTAACACACAATTCTATTAGTAGTAACACGCAATTCTATAAATAGAAACACGCAATTCTATAAATAGTAACACGCAATTCTATAAATAGCACAATTCTATAAATAGCAACACGCAATTCTATAAATGGTAACACGAAATTCTATAAATAGAAACACGCAATTCTAAAAATAGTAACATGCAATTCTATTAATAGAAACACGCAATTCTAAAAAAACAACAACACGCAATTCTATAAATAGTAACATGCAATTCTATAAATAGAAACACACAATTCTAAAAATAGAAACATGCAATTCTATAAATAGAAACACGTAATTCTAAAAATAGTAAAGCGCAATTCAATAAATAGTAACATGCAATTCTAAAAATAGTAACACGCAATTCTATAAATAGAAACACCCAATTTTATAAAAAGTAACACGCAATACTAAAAATAGTAACACGCAATTCTAAAAATAGTAACACGCAATTCTATAAATAGAAACACGCAATTCTAAAAATAGTAACACGCAATTCTATAAATAGAAACAGGCAATTCTAAAAATAGTAACACTCAATTCTATAAATAGAAACAGGCAATTCTAAAAATAGAAACACGCAATTCTTAAAAAAGTAACAGGCAATTCTAAAAATAGTTACAAGCAATTTCTATAAATAGTAACACCCAATTTCTAAAAATAGAAACACGCAATTCTAAAAATAGAAACACACAATTCTATAAATAGTAACACTCAGTTCTAAAAATAGTATCATGCAATTCTAAAAATAGAAACACGCAATTCTATAAATAGTAACAAGCAATTCTAAAAATAGAAACATGCAATTCTAAAAATAGAAACACGCAATTCTAAAAATAGTAACACTCAATTCTATAAATAGAGACATGCAATTCTATAAATAGAAACATGCAATTCTATAAATAGAAAAACGTAATTCTAAAAATAGAAACACGCAATTCTATAAATAGTAACACCCAATTTCTAAAAATAGAAATACGCAATTCTAAAAATAGAAACACGCAATTCTATAAATAGTAACACGCAATTCTTAAAATAGTATCATGCAATTCTAAAAATAGAAACACGCAATTCTATAAAAAAGTAACAAGCAATTCTATAAATAGAAACATGCAATTCTAAAAATAGTAACACGCAATTCTAAAAATAGTAACATACAATTGTAAAAATAGTAACACACGCAATTTATAACAATAGAAACACCTAATTCTATAAATAGTAACACGCAATTCTAAAAATAGAAACACACAGTTCTTAAAATAGAAACACGCAATTCTAAAGATAGTAACACGCAATTCTAAAAATAGAAACACGCAATTCTAAAAATAGTAACACGCAATTCTATAAATACTAACAAGCAATTTGTAAAAATAGAAACACGTAATTCTATAAATAGTAAAACACAATTCTAAAAATAGAAACACGCAATTCTAAAAATAGAAACACACAATTCTATAAATAGTAACATGCAATTCTATAAATAGTAACACGCAATTCTATAAATAAAAGCACGCAATTCTAAAAATAGAAACATGCAATATACATTGTTGTTGATGATGATAGATATGTATGTATGTATATATATGAGCCGTTCTCCAGAAAAACCTGCAATTATGACCAAAATATCGAATTTGAGGTTTTCATCATTTTCCTGTAGAATGCAAAAGAAATTTTGAAATTATCTCAAAAGTTACCCGAGATACAGCCTTTCGCAATAAGGCACTGTCATGTACATAATCATGTAGAAATAAATATTTCAATATACCTCATATGAAACTTATAAGCAATTGAAACAAGTACAACTAGGTATACATGTAGTTTGTAATATATTCATTATACTTGTTTACAGAAACCATTAGATAATAACATAAAAAATCATCATAACAGGAGTAAGATAATGTCTTTTCTATCCGTTGCCATGGTAACATAAGTGTTCTTCTAAGGCTCTCCTGGACATGTTTCATCTTGAAATATAGGTCGCACATAGGGCCGAACTGTGCTGTAAAGATATCTGCGTCGTGCAGCAGACATTCCACCTGGTTGCAGTACTTGTGGCAAGTGTCCCCGTTCAAACTGAAAGTTGTTTGATTTCATGATGGAGAACGTCTCCTCGGCTTTATCGCAGCTCTCTTTAACCATTCCAGGATGATCTCGGCTCATACGAAAATATTGATACTTTCTGAAAGGGGTAAAATATACATGTTAATGCCATTATGAAAATTTGTATTATAATGATAACTATAGAAGCACTTTCAGGATTAAATTTGTTCAATCAAGATGATAAAATGTTATACTTAACATGTATAGTCAAACATATGTTAGATACTACCTCTGAATAGGAACCACATGACCACATGTTTTGTTTCAAATTATCACATTCAAAGTGCAGTGTGTTTAACCTGTAAATAAAGACCACCCGTCAATAAAGACCACAGAACATACCCGATTGATCTTTATATATAAGTTTGACTGTAATGTATGCACTTCATAGTTATGTTCAAGTATATTTTACAATATCTCTACTTAAGCTGACAAAAACGCAAAACTCTACTTTTTACTCTTAAATTACCTGATGCCTTGGAGCGGTTTGAAGTACGTTTTCAGAAATCCTTTCCAGTCTCGCCATGTCCATGTAGGGTACCGGATACACTGGCTTGTAGATGATGACTGATTTACAACTTCCGTAAGTTGGCCAAGAGCATCCGTGTCTGTCCTGCGGTAAAGTTGTTTTATGCGGGCAAAACCAGCATCAACATGGCAGCGAGCGTGACCAGGTATCTGCATCATATACTCTATCTTCTCCTGACGTCCAGACAGAACACGCCACATTAAATATCCCAGCATATAGTAGTTTTTATTCTGTCCTGAAATAGAAATAAATACAGTAAAAAAATAAAATAGTTGCTGTACTATGTTGAGTTTAATTAGATGTGGTAATTAAATCTTGCAAATTCACATTAAAATCATCAATATTTGTTATTATTATGATAATATTATGAATATCAGTGTGTGAAAACGTGTGATAAGGTTGCCGACTTTTATTATTATTAACCCTGCACCATCTGCAGGAAAAGTTTAACAGTTTTTTAATCAGATGATAGGCCATTTCGTCAGGTTCCAAGACGTTTGTCACTGACAATGCTTCTTACAACTTTGAAGCAAAGTGGATTAAAGCAGAGGACATTTTCAGCAGACAACAATTTTTTAATGTTAAAGATTTATGTTTCAGAATATTTTATGCTAATTGAATTGTTTGTGAACAAAGTTTGTGATATAATATCGGTTGACTTGTATAAATTTCTTTGATAACTGACTATGAACGGCATTGATCATATAATTAACATTATGTGTACGAACCGATAGAAAGTGCTATTAAAAGTTATTCATATAAACACCAAAGTACATTTAAGTATTGAACTAATTTGTAGCAAAACAGTGTTGTTCTTTTTTTACAATTTATGCACACGTGCATGTGTGCACGTTCAACGTATAACGCAATGAGTGATGAATTATTACAAAACGCCATTTTGCTATAAATAATTAAGTAAATAATTTCAATAAATTTATAAGGCACTTTATGAGGAACATACCTGGGCAATTATCGGCATGTAGTGAAATTGTTGGTCCCTCCGCGTGGTCCCTTTCTATCACCCAGTCCACCATACTGATAACAGCGTTAGGTCCGTGAGTTTGAGTACCATCAGGGCCAATAGTCTCATTCTCGTCTACAAGGAAGTTGTATTGTGTTGATGTTCCGTCATTGCGTACACCAAACAATTGCACTTTGCGCAATGTCATAAAATAAGTTGGCCCTATCTGTCTTGAATGGTGTGGTAGCCATAAATTCTGGCTGAAATCAAAGGTGAAATGAGAATGTCGCCTGTCCCCTGTCTCAAACAGACCTTTAGCATATGCAATGCATTTGTTGTAGACTTCTCTTTCATTTTGTGCGTTGACAATGTGCTCTCTAGGATTTGCGGTGCCCTGCAATTTTTCATCCTCGGTTCTTGAATCCATCACAACTTTTCTTAATTTTTCACAAGTTGCACAAACGTCGTCGCGTGGAGATGCAATTTTGATGTGTGGTAAACATTGCTTCCAGATGTTGCAGAAAGTTTTATAATGAACAGCCCTTTTTGTTGGTTCAGATTCAAGGCACGATGTTTCGTATTTCTTGTGAATATCAAGTTTTGTAGTAGCACTTGGTAAGTAAACTGGTGGCATGTTGTCGGATCCACGTGGTGCAGCCGGTTGTGGTATACCTATGTCTTCAGCAGTTTGGGAAACATATGTCACCGCATGTTTAATATCTTCAAACTTTAAAGATTTGACAGGTTTTTTCCCTTTGTTGCCGTGAATTCTTTGAACCACACCATGCTGATCAACATGTGTTAGGATATTTTGAAGAGCGCTCCGCTTGATATCAAAGGTCAACATAAACACAGTCCTACACACTGGTTTCCCAACTAATGAAAAGTCATGGTGACCTTTCTGACGTTTCTTCCCGCGCTTTGTCAATTCATTCTGAGGGCTGTTTACTACTGTTGCCATTATATACAGTTCCTTGTCTTGCTTTTCCATTTCCCTAATAGTCAATATGTGATCAAAAATGTCAGAAATAGTAAACTGTTTAATGCAGTTTTTCTTGCACCCACAACCATTCTTATGATAAAGGGTAATTCTGTTCACGTCTTCGTCATTTTGGGGCAGATCACAATCAACTTCTGCTTCACCCTCGCTGTCACTAGTAACAGAAGCCCCTGTTGTGTCATCTGGAAGCGTGTCTATGTAGTCTTGGACCCGCCGATCAACATCTAACTCGTGATCATCTTCGTCCGAGTCTAAACACAGGGTAGATACATCAACCTCCTCCTGCGATCCCCAGGGTGTCGAAACGGGCGTCACACCAAAATGCTCGGAAAGCAAACTCTCCAAATCCTGTAAGATAAATAAATCAGGTGAGTACTGACAATTATGACAAAACATACAGCTTCTGTGCTAATTAATGGGCTAATATAAAATAAAAATATTTCAGTCACTGCAGAATACAAATTTTCCTTTAACATACAAATGCTTGTCCACAAAAAAATCATACACAGACTGCATTTTATTTCAATTAAAGGTTAATTTGCTTGATAAAAAAATTTAATTTTACACAGAATTCTACATAGCAGTTTATAAAATATGATTGTTAAAAAAAAAGAAAAAGAAAAAAAAAGGTTCGCGCGTCAGGATCGAACCAGCAAAACACTGACAGCATTCGTGTTCAGTACAGTATAAATTAAGTGATTTAACCTTAATCGTTCAGATTTAGATCAATAGCATACCCATTCCGAACCAAAACCAACTAAATTTTCTGAAATTTTAATAAAACTTATCTTCGTTGAAATATATTGACATTATTAAAATAAATAATAGAGATCTATATCTACGGAGTCCTAAATAATTTTTGAAATATTGATTCGATGTCATTCTGGTAGTGGTGGGGTACACAGAAATGTCTTCCAAATTTAGCGAATACATTAATTTCATCTGAAAAACAATCTTAACGAGTATGTCAAGAAATGTGTGAGAGCGAAATCAATCAACTCTTTACATGTTTATTACTGTGTTGCTCGGTATAAGTTACAACAATCACGCTATATTATTTTGTTTACGCGCCATATTTTCCTGATTCACTCTTGCGTAAAATACATCTATAAGGGAACAATTGAACAATTAATGTGCGGCATACCTGGTTCAGAGTTGATAAAATATATAAATACAACATACCTCTATATCGTTATCCATTTTAATATCCAGAAAATGTCAAAATTTATCATGTAAACACTGATACATAAAGGTCACTGAACTCACATGTGCTTTCAAGTATGACGTCATATTTATCGGGAAATTCCCAACGTCATAATCGATGTCATTTTGGCAGGTTTTCCTGGAGAACGGCTCATATATATACACAAACACACACACACCAATAAATATATAATTATGGTCATTTAATGCACAAATCTGAGAAAATTCAGTAATTTAACCTTCAAGGTCAAGGTCATTAAAGAGCCCGAGCAAATTTGGGTTTGATAAACAACAAGGTCTGGTCCTTAAGAATGTTCTATTATAATATGAAGTTGATCCCTTCAATAATAGCAAAGTTACAGTCAGATACATGCCAAAACAATGAAAATTTCAATAATTTGACCTTCAAAGACAATGCCATTAATGAGTGAAGATCAAGGTCTGTTGGGTTATTTTTAAGAGTTATCCTTGAAGATTATTATGTTCAAGTTTCAAGACAATCCATTAAAAAAAAACAAAGTTACAATAATTTGACCTCAATCCATTCAAAAATAAAAAAGTTACAGCCATTAACAGCATGAACAAGCAAAATTTGGACTTTTAACCTTGAAGGTCAAGGTCATTTATGGATGAAGGTCAAGGTTAGTGTGGTCTACTGAAAGGTCTTGTCCCAAGGCTTGTTGTGGCCAAGTATGAAGACAATACACCAAGAAATAAAAAAGTTATGATCCAGGTACAAGTTTGCGGACGGCAACGCCGACCTGACTATCAATACCTCTACTTTTTTTTTCAAAAAAAAAGTCGAGCTAAAAACTGAATTGACTCATGAAAATTTTGGTCAAACAGTCTGCCATGTGAAATTCTGACCTTCCTGAGATCCCTGCTGTGTGTTGTTGTTTTTTTTTTTAGAAAGGGTGTTCTAATATGATAAACCACAGATGCTGGGGCCAACATGATATCCCTGAGTAAACACTATCAAAAAATATTTTAATATTTAAACACTAGTGGGATATCTGTTACAACTATAATACTGGTTTTCGAAAAAAAAAATACTGTTTACCATCATGTATTGAGACTTGATTCGGGGCAGGCAGGTGAATTGGTTGGGCCATTTTTCGTAACAGTTTTCTCAGCAACTACTTATCTGAGCCTCATGATATTTAGTATGCAGCATTAACACATTGTCCCATACCATGGGATTCGATTTTAGGTCTGTCGCTCATCCACTTCATGTTTACTGACTTAGTTAAATTCATAATAATGGTCAATGGTACAAATTTTTCTTAAAAATTTTTCTTAAAAATTTTCTCATTAGTTAAATTCATAATAATGGTCAATGGTATGAAATTTTCG